CAAACATCGTAAGAATGCTCATCGGAGGATATCCTCGTATGGACTGGCCAGCATTCGACCGGACTTGAATCCAGTAGAGCACGTGTTGATATGCTTGCGCGAGTTGCAGCCCTCAGCCTCCTCTACATGTCTACCGGAACTTCGGAGAGCATGCTTTGAGTGGTGAATATCTCCCAGATTAGACGATAATTTGATACTCAGGCCTAGGCGTTGTACGGATGTATTGCATCGTCTGGGAGACATACAATATATAACATCATACAACCGTAAAATGTTTTTTTGTAATAGGTTTTTTTTTTTTTAATTTGCGCCAGGGAAAAAAATCGCTAATTTTTTTAATAATATCAAACATATAGCATCTTTTTTTGCTCTTTCCTTTTGTTTAATAAATAAGCTTTACAAAAATCAAATTTGTTTTGCTTTACTCTTCCTTTGCCTGATTTTGCATTATCCTTAATTTATGGACATGAGTGTATATTCCGTACTACAAAAAATTTAAACTTCCTTATAGATAAAGAAAGGTATACATTCATAATTATCTATATGGTATATTATTCCTTTATATAGCCAAAAATTAAAATTGCAAATTTTTATATTTATATTCCAATAGGAAATTCTATTTCGCTTCAAAATGTAATTAAAAGTGAAACTACAAATATTATTTTTCATATATTTTACTACTGTGAAATGTTTGAAACATAAATTAAGTTTACTTAAATTCCAGCAATCGTCTCTTTTCTGTAATGTATCACTTCATCATCGAAGTAGTTAAGTCGGTACAGTAGGCATCGATTAATGTGATCGCATTTGGCAGTAACTAGTTTCATAAGAGTAAAGAGAAAAAATACCCTTGAAAATACCAATAGCATTTAACTAATTTAATATATAGATATAAATATATAAATATATACTTTTGCAGCATTTTCATGAGGAAGAAAGCCATTACTAATAAAATGTCTGCAACTGTTGTTCAATAGTTTATTTATTTGAACTGTTTAAAATGTTTCCGTAAACAAACTATTCGACCGATGCGGGCAAATGGATACTAATCTAACAGCTAATCGCAAGCACCGCTAATCTTACTTGTATTACCCAAAAGCCATCCCTCATTTTCAGCATTTGTAGGGAATTCTTACTTATATTCATCACAATCATCTTCAGAAAGTTTATAACATCATATGCTTGATTTGTTTCAGAAGGTGAATGAAAGATATATTCTTCAATCAACTGTGATGCAATTTGAGCTTTTTCATCAGGATTTACTCGTACGTTACATTACTCATTATTCATGTTATTTAGGAGGTTCGAATCCCGCGAACGGGCTGGCTGCATGGGCGTTTTCGTGGTTTTCCCCATGTGTAACGTGTATACGAGGCAGTTTCCCTTAGAAAATCCTCCCCGAAGGCATCCCTCCCCTTAAGGCAGATAGCCCTAGTGTGCTTTGCCATAATCAAATACACCAACACCATGTTATTTAGAGAAGCTGCTTTTTCTTATTCATCTATTTCATCATTTATCAAAAGATACACATATTTAAAACAGTTTTTATTGACTTTTTTAAGATGTTGTTTTAGGACTAGTTCAGTAAATATACTGCATGAAAATGATTAGTTTTCCTTAGTAATTTCTTTGCAGTACATCCATGTTATAAAGGACTATAATGCTCACTGCAATTACATTCTTCCATTGCTCAATAAATCGTATATCACATGGTTGAATTAAGACCATGGTAGTTGCTGATAAATATCGAATTTCAGTATGTTTAAAATAGACATTTACGTTATACCCTGCGCGGTTGTCAACAAGAACAAAGATATTAGTCTTCAGTCACCCTTTTGTATTGCATTCAGTTAGCCTCGGAACAAAGCCTGTTATGATTTCTGATGACGTCTTTGCTGTTTATCACGCATGTTCAAGAAATTCAGGAAACATATTTTTGAACCAGGTTTATTTTGGCCAACCTGTAATCCTAATTTATTCTTTCATGCCTAAGTTTATGAAAATTTTTAATTAATAAAGAGTAATGTGTGAGTTATATATAAATTCCACGTTCATTTTTTCATTGTGAGTAACATAATATTTTTCAGGTATACATATGGTAAAAAAGTTGACGGTTTTCTGAGAGCTAAGTTTATAGCCAAGGAAAGATGGAGAAATTCCTTTTCTTCTGTAGAATATATAGGAGAAGTAAGAAATTTTTAAGTAACACATGGATGTTTATCAAAATGAACTTTAAAATTATTTTGAAGTTATTCTTATTGCAAGAATTTGTTTTAATGCCTTCTTAATAATGGTCAGAATATTCGAATATTCCTCCATAAAACATTTTGATTCACTATAACAGTTAAAGACCTTCATATGCCTTATAAGCCAGGCAAATTAGAATGTCATTCTTACTGTAACAATTTATTTGACTGAACCTAAAATAATTTTGAAATATAGCTCACAGGAGCATTCTCATCAATTAGAGAAAAACCTGTCAGCAAATGAAATATTGATTATTAAGATCCAATAAACATTTTGTAATTCAGGCCAAAATTTACATGTTGCTAACTGACCAATTATTTATTTCAAAGTCTTTAGGACATTCTCAAGAATTTAGTTTCAGAATAAAAGAGGTATTTTTAATTAAGTATAAATCCTTTTCTGCAGCTGATTGAATTATGTGAAGACTTTCAAATTCCTCATCAACTCATTTTCGAAATATAAATATTTTTCTTAATTATGTCATACAGCGGGTACAAAAATAGTATATCGGGAATGTTCTTTAGCAAAAGTAAAAAGCTCTGTTGGCGTGATTTTTCGCGTACTTACTGATTAGGCGAGATGTAAGTGGATAAATGTACATATAATTATAAAATGCACATGTTATACCAGTTAAGTCCAAGAATCAAGAATTATTTATTTGAGTGCCTTCGTTTTAGTGTTAAGTACTTCTAAATCATAAAAATAATGAGTAGAAATAGAAAAAGTACATAAGAGACATTAAACAAAATTAATAAGTTGCAATCAACATGACTTAGAGAGAAAAAGAAAACTTTTACGTCTATTTAAAGGTTTTTAAAACGTAAAACAGCTAGCTTGTTTGGAACTCGCTACTTGAGGATCATTAACCACTATATTGTAAGGGAACAGATAGTTTTAGTTTAATATATTTATCTGTCTATATATATAGAGAGAAAGAGTTAGAGAGATAGATATAGATAATTAAATAGATACACAGTAAGTAAAATAACATATAGATAAAGGTTTATTATTTTACTATAAATATTACACAGATAAAAGTATATGTATATGTATGCATATATACATAAAATTAATTAATTTTCTGTTTATGATTGTCCCTAGTGAAGGAAATCTAGAACTATTACAAATTGAAATTAGGTATTGTTATTACTTAAGAGGATTGTTTTAAAACTATTAGAAACTTATAATAAACCTGAAAGAAGTTTAAAATATGTAATGGTAAGCATTAAAATCGCAGATTTTAAAAACTAAAAACAACAGTACTTACATAAAAATAAGTAATAACGGTACATATATTAAAAAGCAAGTAAATTATTGCTGATTTGCCAGAAGAGGTTTCACTTATCGAATGGAATTAACGCTTCTCAGAAAAATCTGCAATACTTTGGGCATGATCGCGTTTCGTCTCCATCGCATGTTTGAATGATTCCTCTTAATTACGAGAAAAGCTAATACATGAAATTTGTATTTAAATTAATAGGTTATAATTTTCAAACTTGAAGGAACTTGGTTTTCAAACTTGGAGAATTTAGAAGTGTTAATGCATATAAAACTAGTGTACGAATATTATATAATTTAAGCTGTTATATAATTATAATGTCTTAGTTACATGCATATACAAAAATGTAGTCCAAAAAAATGCATAATTTTAATCCTCTTACAGTTTAAATTCAAAGGCTGCAATTGTGATTTTTTTTAATAGAAAAAGTTGTAGGGGAAATTTTTCCATCTGTCTTTCGCTAACTAAACATTCCAGGAAATAAATCTGGAAGAGTAGTAGACTCTGTTTGAAATGTATAAAATGTGGTATCGGTTCAGTCATTCTACGCTGCACAGAGAAGGCGATCAGTTGGTATATTATTAAAACTACCATGCTTGCCTTTATTAGGATCCTATTAACGATATGTATCTTAAAGTGCGATCTTTATTTAGCAAGTGATGGCTAAGTTTAATGACTCATAAGCATAAGAATTGGTGATTAATTTCAGTTTCTGTTATTGACGCCAACTGTTTTGTTTAACTCCAAAATTACCCGTCTTTCCTTTCGATAACTTGGAAACAGAACAGTTGGAATTATTTGACTTTCTCGAAAGTCAGATTACTACGTAACAACATTTTGGTAGCACAGTTCATAAATTTAAGCAACAGTGAGATTTGAGACTACTGAAGTTCAGTATGAACACTTATGTCGAATAATCCAGACCGTTTTCCGTAAACACCAAAAAAATAATTTCAGTTTCCTGCACTATCTCTCCCTCTGATCCCTGTATCGTAATGTTTTCCAAACTTAAAATAAATCCTTTTTAGGGAAATTACATTAGTATTACATACGCAAAAAAAAAAAATGATTACTTCTTTTGAAGCGGTAAAACACGTTCTAAGTTCCATGCATAATTGGCAAGTGTTTAAATGCAAAGCATTTTACAAAATAAACTAAATAAATTAAGTTTGTCTAAATTGCAGAATAACTATGTTTCTGATTTGCTTGTAATAAAATGTTAAACATAATTTTGAGATCACTTAACATTTGAAAAATATGTTTACAAATATTATAAAATAATTCTTCTAATGCGAACTTTAACCTTTTGACAGATTTCTGGTTGTCACACAGTTGTCATCAATACTTTATCTTTTGGTAACTTTAATAGTCTTCGATTTAAAACTATTGAGATATTTGCAGAAGTTGTCGAGAATGGAACAGGTATGCTTACTCTTTTAACTTAAACATACTCTTGAAGCTTTCATTGCTGTTTAATATCTCTTTCACATATTAAAGACTGTAGTATTAAGCAAATCATATTAATTAAAGTTCAAAATGAGTTATCGTAATAATTTTTCAGCTAATTTCTACTATTAATATTATTATGTTGTGAATATTTACATAAATCTTCTCTGCGCCTCGAAGGGTTAATGACATTTCATTAACAGAATAGACTGAACTATTGCAGTAAAATATGACTCTCCATGGTTCTCAGTTTTTTATTATGTAATATTTCTAATATTAAAGAATATAATAAGTCCACTATAAAGTGCCTTTATTAGTCCGGAAATATATCTCCATGAGACAGAGGTACGGCCGTGAACAAAATATTAAATTATGTAGATTGTCTTCCAGCAACAAATTGTTTCAAAATTCCGTTATGAACGTAAGTTTTATACTGTATGCCATAAAAATTAAGGGCGGTGAGGTTGGTTCATTAATACACTGGCAACGCATTGTGAAACAATAACATCGGCTCTATTTAATTTCCTAATTTTATTAGCGATGCATAACTCATTGTAGTGTTAACAAACATTTAGCTTATTTTATTATATGAAACCAACGTACACTGGAGTGAAATATTGAGAGAACTGGTAAATTATGAGTATTTTAAAGAAACATACTAAACCAAAGATACTAATTATGCCGCTGAAAAATTATGCAGACATTCGGAGTCGAATACACAATCATACATAAGGGTGTCTGCGAAGCTGTGATTATGGAGGGGCTGTAAGCGCATGAGGGGTTTTGGACGATTTGTGTGCTCGTACAGCTTCATGAGATTCGCCGTATTTCTCCCAAGAGTTGGGTAAATTGTATAAGGTATCAAGTAAAATGAGTAGCCATGAACGTATGGATCACGGAATGAGATGAAAAACTGTTGGCAGATTGCAGGCAAGCTAGTCACAAGTGCAGTGAGTACAGAGCTTAACGTAACGCCCAGTGTCATTTGGAATTTATGAAAATAGTTTCAGGACACTAGATCCATGTCGAGAAGACCTGGACAAGGTCGATTAAGATCCACAATGACGAATGAGGATCGTAATATGCCATTTTCAGACTACAATTTCACACCTCTCATGTGAGCTGTGTGCTGTCATTTCATGTTTTAAAGTTGCTCTAAGGTTTCACGAGATAGGGCTGTACGCCAGAAGATCCTCTGTTTGTATCTCTCTCATAGCGTTCACAACAGAGTGCATTTAGCATGGTGTATATCATTCATCTTGGTGGAAACTTCAGTGGAGTACTGTGCTTTTACAGAGAGTTTAAATTCAGCCTGGAGACTGATTCGCAGCATACCTGCATCTGGAGATATCCTGGAACGCTATTCCATCCCTCCCTCATCAGGAAAAAGAATCATTACGGTGGTGGACATGCAGCGATTTGGGCAAACTTTATGTTGGACAGCAGCACACCCCAGCATCTTTTAACTAAGGCTCCATGACCGATATGAGGTATAAAGAGGAGATCTTAAACCCGTACGTTTAATTTTCAGGGCCGCAGCTGGTCCTGGCTTTCTGTTAATGAAAGACAACGCTCGTCCATACAGGGTTCAACAGTTTGACGATAACCTGGAAAGTTAGGATATTCGACGCATAGATTATCTAGCCAGATCTCCTGACCTTGACTCTAAGGAGTATATTTGGAATCTCTTGGGAGGGCAATTTCATCTCGTCATCCTCCTGCAAGAACCAACCCGAAGTTGAAACCTGCCTTGCTGCAGGAGTGGGAACGATTGCTACAGGGACATCAACTGCCTCCCGTTCAATATGCTGTCACATTGCGTGACTTGTCTGGCTGTGAGAGGGAATTATATCCCAAATTAGGCACCTCTTAGGCAATGACTTTTGAATGGTACATCTCTTTTTCTATCAGAAAAACATATTCATATCATATTTCATTAAAATACGCCTATTAGTCTTTCAGAAATTCGACATAATGGGAAAATTATTTTGATTTTGCACATGAGTTGTTAACATATATGACATGTGTTATCCTGTTGTTAGTAAAACTTCCTGTTAATAAATAAAGTAACGTTTTTTAGTTAAAGGCATAAAAATGTTAGGCAATTTTTAAATGCGCTGTGTGCTGGCGTCCTTGTTCCGCAAGTATTTCAAGTTCCGCAAGTTAACTGCAACTGAAAATAACAAAAACAAAATTTATAGTTTTTGTGTGATGCTGACTAGTAAAGTTTTTATTGAACTAACGACTAATGGTCATAATAAATATATTTGCTCTTTAAGCTTACAAAGTTCTCTGGATATCTCAACCGTTTTCAGCCCTGGATCTTTTTTAGAAACGAAACAAAAATCTGTAAAATATTGTTTGTTGATGTTAGGAGTACTCCCTTTGACCCATATTAATAAACTCCTACTTGAGTTGTTCCTACTACTGAATCGTTCCACAAACAACTGTCAAAAGCAAATATTCACAAGATGAGTGGAAAAACGCATGTGGGCAAATATTATTACAAGCCCCATGTTTGCATCTATTTTTAATGTTTCGCATCTATGTTTTATTTATAGTTTCCTTAGGCTATTTATGTAATTCCAAAGCATCTATCGCTGTGTATTTATCAATATCTTTATTTCCACCGTTTCCTGCTGCTCACTGCCGCTTCAATATACAATTAAGCACTAATTACTAGCTGTAACAGCTGTAATTCTCTCTCCGTTTATTGGCTGTGCTGTGCGATTCTTTCATAGCCAGTGACCAAGAGCATCACCAGCTGCAGGTTAATTCCGCAATATTTGTATGCATGATCAACTGTTGCGGACAAGCCGCCAAGTAAGACATCTGGCGATGAATTGTAAAACAGTCTCCGCTACCGATAAAGGCGACATCTGCTTATGAAAGTTTGTGATGACTTCGTGGTTTAACAAGGCACCATTTAGCAAGACGAAACAAACATTTATTAACAAACATTGAGTGACTCAGAGCAGTACGTCGCTCCTACCGCATAGTACAATCTACTATCTTCCTCTTCCGAGGCTAACATGCAACTCCTAATAAATACATTAACTCTTCTCGGAGAAGAGCTACCTGCGTCAAGCATGCTCTGTTGATCGCCAAACAGTAGCCAGATATCACAAAGTTGCAAACGCCACCGGCAAGACCGAAAGGATTAAAACATTTTTTTAAATTTCTAAAGACTGATTTAGAGCTTACCATTTGGGATACTTTTACGGGAAGTGAGTACAGTCATTTTAATACAATTTATTCTTTTTAAAATTATTACAAATGTGTCTCGTATTTAGTAGGTTTCTTACAGTATCCTTTTTTATCAATTTTTTTTTGTCTACTGCGCTATAGTGTTAAAGCTCTGAGAGAAATTTTTAAGCTCAAATTGGCTTTCACTTTTCAGATTAAAAAATATTTCACTGATTTTCAACATCTTTTGTTTCAGAAATAAGAGTTAACAAGACGACTGAAATTACATTAGTGACAAAATCCCTTAGGCTCAAGTTTTTAAATTCAGTAAACGGAGAAGCTTACATCAAACCTAGAATTCCATATTCCGGTGCCGTAAGTTGCAATTCATTTATTTTATTCTGAACTGCGTCTAAGTAAAGCCTATCACCAGAAAAGAAATAGGGAAGATAGAAGTTTATATTTTAGGTTTAAGTCAATTTGTGTTAAATTTGTGTAGCATAATGGAGTGAATAATTAATTTTTTTTAGCTTTAGGATCTTAATCATTAAATTATAAGAGATTGTTAACCTTGTTATAAACATTAGTAAATAATAAAAGTTTCAGTCTTGCAATTTTGTCGGGTTCTATTTTCAATTGCAATTGCAAAAAAAGTATTTTTTTACAGAAATTATGTATATATGTTTAAAACTTCCAAATCTAACACTCCAAAATATTGAGAAAATTAAGGTCTGAATAGAGGTTGTTATAAAATGGGATAACTTGAAACGTTTATTAAATATTCGTAAATAATTAAGCGTATGAATGAGGTAACTTGAGGTAATAATTTCTTCACACGATTATTTTTCATTCTCTTTTATTAACAAAATAATCCGACAAGATGAATCCGACGATGCTTTAAAAATTACTTGAATACCTGAACTTTCAAATTTTTTGTTTCATTACAAGAGCTCAATCCCCATACAAGAATATGGTTGCAGTTAATAAATTCACTTATCCCACTAAATGCGATATCGGTGGAAACTAAAAATGTTATTTTTACCTTTTTAACTAATATGAACTTTTACATCCAAATTGCATATTAAATCAAAATATGTCTAGTAAAATTTTAAATAAATTGTGTTAAAATGCATTTTGAAACCAATTAAACACGGTCGGTAAAATAGAATAAAAATTATTTACATCTAAACATCGCAAGGGCAATTTGGAATTATAATTAAAGAACAGATCTTTCTTGTGGAAGTTTCATTAACTTTTGGGCTTCGGAGCTCTAATGTTGGCTGTTTGCAGAGTTCTCATGAGTTCAATCTACTTGTTATTTAATATCCAAGAATTAGCAGAGGTAACCAAACTTCATGTCTGTAGAAGCCGCATGTTATATTTCAGGAAATCTAAATAGCCTCAAGAAAATTTGAATAGCAGCACTGGCGGAGAAAAAAAGCCATAAAACCTGGAGTATCTTCAGAGGTTTTTGCAGCTAAGAGCAAGAAATTTGCAAAATATTTTTATTTTGCAATTCTTGAGATAACTTCAGAATGCAGGATTTTTTTAATCCTGCAATCTGCAAAAAGCAAATTTAAATGCTAACATAGGAAATGTGATGTAAAGAAGGTAGGGAAAAGTGGGTGTTCAACTTTTTAATATACGTAGAAAAATTTAATGAAGTATGTGGTTAATCTTGACCGAAGTGCAAGCTGTATAGCGATTTTCCTGAGTTTTTCTTCTTCCATATTATACGACATCTTTAATTCCTCTTCAAGCAAAAACAAGATTCATCAGTATAACGAGCTCTTCTTTAGTCTGTGGGACTCCAATTACGTTCATGTCTGCAGCGCTGCAAATGCGCGCAAATCGCAGGCCTAGTTAATCGTGTCCGCCGAAAACATCGCGGACGAAAACTTCGTGGAGAAAACAACGCAAGACGAAAACGTCGTGGTACGAAACATCGTGAGAAAAAAGAAAGCAAAGAGAAAACATCGCAGTTCTAAAACATCGTGTACAAAATATCGTCATCGAAAATGAAGCGGTTTGAAAACTTCGCAGTTAAAAACACCGTCGTCGAAAGTATCGTGGTAAAAAGTAAAGTGCCTACAAATCATCGCATGACGATAACATCGCACACATGCGATTTTCAGGTTTTAAAAGCTGCAAATTCATTTTCGGATTATTATTTGGGAGCGCAAGAAGGAAAGAGGGATATTTTCACTTCTATATTTCATATTTTTGAATGAACTAATAAATCTTTACTGAAAAAGTAAGCAGGAAACTTAAGCATTTAAAAATTGAAAATGAGTAGAAAATTAATGCGACTTAACAGTAATTAAGAGAATTTTTAATTTACTTAGTTAATTTACAAAGGTCATTAATAAATTAATCGTTTTTTTTTTTTTTTTACTCATAATTTTTCATGAAAAATACAGCCTAAAAATGTTTAGAAAAAGGACGATAAATAACTGGATGAGGTTACCTCTATAAAAATTGCTTAGTTAATTATCAGATTACTTTCTTTCACGTTTGTTTATCCGATGTTGTTTTGGTAAAAATTATATCTTGGTTTGTTTCCGTTTATTCTTAAAGTGTCGTTAACATTTCCTGCACTACCAAATGTTTACGCGAATATGCAATTACAAATTTTAAAACCTGAAAAACGGATGTGTACAATGTTAACGTCATGCGATGATTTGTATGTGTTTTATTTTTTACCACGATATTTTCGACGGCGGTGTTTTGTACCACGATGTTTTAGAACTGCGATGTTCACTTTGCTTTCTATTGTCCCACGATGTTTTCACCTTGCGCTGTTTCCTCCGCGATGTTTTCGACTATAACCGAGATAATAATATACAAGTCGTGAGTTCTCTTGCATACTTGTTTTTATGCAGTATGTCACTCATGGTCTATTTGAATAGCTGAGTTCCTATATCTGTAGCAAATTCTCTTTATATCAATCCTGACGTTACTTTTCTATTTCTTTTAGCAATTTTTCGCAAATAACGGTCCTAAAAGTCTGCTGTGGCACGTTTTCGAACTTGCGATTTTTCGTCTGCATACATCATCATTGCCTAAATCATTCTCAAATTCCTGACACAATACTTTTGATTGCTTCTACGTCTTTACAAACAATTATCATTATCTATCCTGCTTCTATTCTCCCAGTAGCAGGCCATTTTTTCCAGTCCATCAAATTCCGTCTCAAATAACATGTTTCATTTCATAAATGAGAAAATTTCTATTCAAAACATACGCATATATCTGAGTAGTGAAAATGTGTTCAATTGGATTACATAATAACATTCACCTTGAGCCCAAGGTGAATTATGTAATCCAATTATTATGTAATCCAATTTCACCCTATCTTATATTGAATTTCAAATATTAGGATCAACACAAAGGCCTTTTTTACAGTTTTATCTTTAATTTCCTCTCCTCAAAGAGCCGGAAAGCATATCATATTAAAAGCAAGAAAACAATTCTTATTCAGTAGTTTTTGCTTTCAAAAAGAAATGTATCAAAGAATTTGTCAATAATTTCATATTTCAGAATTAATGTGGTTATTTAGCATAAATAAATAATACGTGTTTCTTCTGCACTATATTCAAGAAAATATGTCCCAAAAATATGAAAACTTTAAAATTTTTGTATAATGACGCCAATATGCCGGCATAAGTATTAGCTATGAATCTACGCTGGCACGCATTTTATCTATGGCTCTGAAGCTAAAATGGTTCGATATTCGAAGAAGATATAGAAAATGATTTGATTCCACTGAGTAGCTGCTCCCTTTCCGTCCGAAACCCGCATACATCAAATATATACTATCAAGATCCGCATTCGTCTAGCGATGCATATCGCTCGAAATCCGAGTGGAATGAAGATTCACGCCTACGGAACGCTTTTACCTATTTCTCAACAGCACCCTGTACCATTTATTGATGGAAATTATGTCGAAATGCTGGATCCAAATTTATCTATAGCCTTACACATATTACTGATTATTTGAGCAAGTGTTGATAATTCGGAAAGAAGAAAGATTTGTTGCTTAAAATAAAAAATTACTTATAAAAGCAGTTTATTACTATACTGAAAATGTTTGCAATGTATTTTATTGAGAACAATATTGCTAAAAACTTATTGGAAATTAATAAAGGAATCTACTGCGAAAAATACTGAGTAAAGTTCGTTTTAATGCATCATTCATTAAGAAATTCTTTCTTCCCCAAACACAGTCGATATCTGTCAAACGTAAATTTGTAATACGAGCTGTGTTCGTCTACATCCGCTGCGTTAAGTAGCTAACATACGAGCTCAGCTCGTTGATGACCATCAAAAGGTTAAGTATTTTAGGTGTGCTATTAATACACGAATAATATTAAAATTATGCATAATCTCTTTTAATATCTGCAAATCTATAATATGCGATATATTAACATGGGGCCAATTTTAATAATATCTACTGTTCACATATGCATAAAATATTTTTCTATTTTATAATATATGCTTTGAACGTATGTATAGCTATTAATTGCGTTTATTGATCATCATAATTTAGTTTTTCAAACTTTAATTTTAACTTTTTAATAATATAAAGAAAATGACAATATCCACTATTGGTAACGGTGGATCCTACGTTTATGTATGCTGTGTGTGAGATTTTGAAACGTGGTGCAGTTTGTAGTGAAAGTTGCTAGGAATTATTTGTTTGAACATTGCGTTATTTTCTCCTCACAGTTTAAATAATGAAACATGTCACACTGTAAAAATAAAATGCATATTATTTTACATTTTTAAAAATACCGAATACAGAATCCGATGACTGTTTTTATACATTCTACAGAATATTTGTTAATTGCATGTATTTGATCTGGATAAAAATGTATATTTCTTATGGAAAATATTTTCGTATCCTAGGTATTGCTGACACACTTGAACGGTACAGCAGCAACGTCCGTAAAAGTTAGGATCTGTGCTGATTTTACAGAATGCCTCACATTCATCTCGGACAAGAATGGGCTAATCAATTTCATTCTTAATCCTCGTAAAAGTATTATGTCTTCAATCGAACTTGAGGTAAGGTTTTAAGGAATCTTGCGATTTTATCAAGCTGAAATAAATTCGTTTAACTAGAATGATGTTTCCAGTATGGTACGTTGATTTTTTAGAAAAGGGAATGGTCTTTCTTTTGGTAAATGGTTTCAGAACCAGTGCAATACTATAAGAATCAAAGATTAAATTAAATGTTAAAGCAGAAAGCTATTAGATAGAACAGAAAAAAACAGCTGTAAATGTTTTAATTGAATTTCAATTAAAAAATCATTGAAATCAAGACATGGTTTTCCTGAAATAAACGTTTCAAGTGTCATACGCTTAAAATTAATTTAAGGATCGGAATTTTGCTTAGCTCAAAATTTTAAGAAGAAAAAAAGCTATAAATGTTTTAAAAGAATTGTGATTGAAAATAATTCAAATTGTGACTCGTTTCTAACACGCGTTTCAATTATAAAACTTTAAAGTTAAGTTAAGATCTTGATTTCTTTTTACTTCAAAATCGCAAAATGAAAAGAACTATAAATGTTTTAATGCAATTGCGATATAAAAAGTGAATGAAATAATGACTTATGTTGTTCCTAAAATAAGTGTTTCAATTACAGTACGCTTAAAATATGCTAAGCGTAAGAATTTTGCTTAATCAAAGAAGCTCAATCGAAATCTCAAGTAATCTGAATTCCCACTAATTGAGTAGAAATTTTTAAAGAAATAGAAATTCAAATATTTCAGAGACATAATATTTTATTCATTTCCTATTTGTTTGCAAATTAGTTCGTAAATAAAAACTTAAATTGGAACTTACGAATGATAAGTTTAATATGTAGAGTCATTAGGTTATTTTGAAGCATCAGACATGAAAAATGAGCAATGCCCTCGGAGGAATCGAACCTGGATCTCTCGAATACGCAACGGGTGTGCTACCGTTACACCACGAAGGCATACATAAAGGAGGGAGAAAATATCTACAGCAAAGTTATAAATGAGGAACCAAATTGGTTACCATTTGTTGAAATTTGGATTTGACTTGTTATATCGACTTTACATGGCTTCCAGTCTAATAAAGAAATTTTTCCAATAAATAAATATTACAAAAGTTTCGAGATAGAAACTGTATTTATGAAGCAGCATCTAATAGTATAACTTACCGTTACGTATAATTGTATGGTTATATGTTATTACTGCATTATTTCAGTAGATACACAGCAATATACAACAATACGTCAGTAGTGCAAGAATCTGCTAAGAATCAGAAAGTTATTTGAATATTGCAAAGCATACAAAGGCCATCTACCCAAGAAGAACTTTTTCCATTGAAGATTTTCTGAGGAAAACTGGCTCGTATTCATGTTACATGAGGGCAAAACCACAAAACAAACCATATGCCCAGTCCATTCGCCTGGGATCGAAACCAGATCGCATTCCCAGCATTCAACGGTCTTAGCCACTAGGCTACAGTTTATATATTGTTGCCGAATTATATATTGCTAGTTATAAAATATAAAAAATAGTTACAGTACATAAAGTTTAAAATTTCGAAAATCTATGAAACAGAATGTGATGTTGCTGCTTAAAAAGGAAAATGCAAAATCTCAACCTTGTTATCAGTGCAAAGGAAACATCATAAGATCACTTGAAGTGGCGCCGCACAACCGAGATAGTTGGTGAGGCTGACTGCCGTACCGAAGGCCGGAATTCAAATCCCGGAGAAGTTTCGGATGTTAGTAAACGTATAGCGTCTGTGCGACACTCTAAATATACGGCGAGCCGAAAGCCTTCTCGTTGGGTTGATGGTAAGGGAAGAGGGGTGGGAGACCTTTCTCCCGAGATGATCTCCATCAAAACTGGGGTCTGAAGGAGACTTACTTCTATAACAGATCTCTACAATATACATCAAATAGTGGAGTCAAATTATATAAAATTACAAGAGGATGCCCACAAGGATCTTATTTGGGTCCAGTTATTTGGAATTTAATAGAAAATGAAATATTGAAAAAATTTGACAATATTCTTCATACGCACGCACAAGCATATGCAGATGATTTCCTGCTAATAGTCCAAGGCAATAGGATATAGAGAATAACTCCAAACAATGCCTACAAATCTTTAAACAATGGGCAAATAAATTTCAGTTAAAAATATCAATTCTCAAGAGTAAAGCTCTTTATATACTAAAACGGGGCACCAAGATAAGGAACCTGCGAAACCCAATTATCAAAATAGCACAAGATAAAATAGCAACAGTAAATTCACTACCTATACCTAGGTATCATGCTTGATAATAGACTTTCATGGCATCAACATATCAAATATATCAAAAATAAACATCTAATATTATCAAACTCAATAAAAATAACCACAGCAATAAACTGGGGAATTTCTTCTCAATATCAGAAAATTTGGTATACAACAGTAATAGAAACGATTATTCTACATGGCGCTTCTGCTTGGGGCACAGATCTAAATCAACATGCAAAAAGACAACTAACTTCAATACAACGGCTTTTTCTGCTATCAATAACAAAAGCATATAGAACAACACCTACCAGTTCTCTACAAATCATTTCAGGTATTCCACCAATTACTCTAACTTTACAGAAAGAAGCCGTTAAAACAAAATTTGCACGCCTACGACAAAACAAGCACCTATAATTCTAATATCTATCATCCAACAGAATATGAAGAACTCAAACAAAATGTAAACTTACATCCAAGTCAATTATATTCAGAAAATCCAATGGTCAATTCAAACATAGATCATTTTCAAATTCAAATTTTTACAGATGGATCAAAAACAGAGTTAGGCGTAGTAAGTGCTTGTTGCGTTTTCAGAAACAATAATCTTAAACACACTTGGAAAACAAAATTGAATCATACAAATTCAGCATTTCAAGCAGAACTATTCACTATAAAAGAAGCAATAACATATGCAAAGCAATTCTCAATAACCACTGTTATAATTTCTGACAGTGCATCAAGTATTCAAGCAATAGCTGGTCATAATCGCTCTCCTTTGGTTCAAGATATACAATATTTACTCGCATATTTTCCAACTGGACAAAAACCTAAACTGCATTGAACACGTTTCCACGTAGGAACATTGGGCAACGAAATGGCAGATAGCTTGGCAAAAGAAGCAGCCAATGGTACTATAACAGCAATAACCTATTTACCAAATCCAAATATCACGTTTAAAATCAAGACTTGAACAAGACTTGATTTTACTCATGATTAGACATGATTAGACATGAAACTCATGTGGTCACAAGATAATACGGGCAGACGAACTTTTATGCTTCTACCAAAACCAACACGAAATTTAGTTACAACAAATAATGCAATAACATATCTTCTAACAGCACATGGGCCCTTCATTTCATATCTTTTTCGTTTCGGCTTATATCATACAGACAACTGCATATGTGGATCAACAGGAACAATAGATCATTACCTGTTTGAATGTGTAATCACTAAAGACCTCCACTTTCGTCCTTTCACAAGTGAAAATGCCCAAGGATAGTTCAAAGAACTACTCAAAAGTAAATCTCTCCGCAAAAAAACTTCATAATTTAATGGAATATCTCATAGAAAATTGTGGTAATCTAAAGGCAGCATAAATTAAGGCATCACAATTCCCCATCAGCACTTTTTCGACATAATTAGCATCACTTCAAGGCAGCACAACTTCAATCGACAATATGATACTTACTTCAACACTAACTATAAAATTTATCAGAACTTACTTCAGACTAACTATTAACTTCAACAGATAAATAAACTTTAATAGACTTATGAACTGTAAACTTTTATGAATAGTGAACTATTTATGAATTATAAAACTGTTTATCAACTGTGAACTATTATTGCATTTCAACAAATCATCAAAATCCTATTTTATTTATTTATTATAACCAGAATTTTGTATCTAAATCTATATTTGTATTTCTAAATTATCATTCTATATTCTACGTACGTACCACTCAAAATTTCTGTTAATATTATATGAATTCTGTCATGTATGTCAAAGTTCAAAATTATGTATATATCAAAATCAAAATTTTATTGTAATATAAAATTTTAAATAAACGTGGTCCCACTGAGTGAGCAATAAAACTGAAAGCCTTCATGGCAGCACAGCTGCTCACCCAGTGGTCTCCTGGTCTGAAGGAGCAAAATCGTACTGTCACCTGTATGATGCTCAAGGCTCTGACCAACGACAGGGGCAGTCTTTCATTCCTTGCCACGAAGAAATTCGTGGGCTTTTTCTGATGCTTTTGTCAGACAAGTGAGCTAAGTCACAAAAACAATAACTTAGAGTGGCTGTTTGTTGTTTCTGTGTAAGCAGCCAGTGTTACTGAGGTATTTAATCGCACCGAGCTAAGATTATAGAGCTCTCATCATAAACGTCTAATGCCTGTACATTGAGTAGAACTTGGTACAGATATTAGGCTTTTTGATGCAGGAGACGTGAAAAATGGGCAATGCTCTTCCTGAAATTCGAACTGCAGAGTCCCTATTACATGTCGGATGTGCTCTCAATTATATAACGAAGGCACGCGGAAAGGAAGAAGAAAATACAAAATTTTTACACACTGTTTTTAGATCCATATTTTAGCCACATTTTTAAAGTGTCTTCCACCAAAATAAAAAATGATCGTTCTCCAGAATTGCATCAGATTGCCACACACGTTGTATACTTCGTATCTAAGAAGTTCTTACCCGGCCTTTATTTTCGTACCATTGGTTGTAGACACATTCTTCCAATTCCAAAAGTATTTTAAATGACACAAACATTCCTGTTTTGAGCATTTTTAAATTATAATAATAATTTTTAAATATCACGAATTCTAACTTTATATGCATTCATCCAGCCCTGTACTTATATTTAGGAAAATGTTGTGCTTTTCAAAAAAAAAAAAAAAAAAAAAAAAAAAAAAAAAAAAAAAACGCAAAAAGCTCGATTCCGTACGACCAGAACTAACAGACGTATTTAAATTCAAAATTTGCCATTTCTGAAATCATTTTCATATTGCACTGAGGGATCGGTTTGTTTATTCATTGTCAAGTTCATATTTCATTGAAAAATGGCTGCCAGAGCCTTTAGGAGTTTAGGGTCGGTTAGGGAGTAAATTATAATAAATTGTAGCTGGCTTTCCCTCCATTAAATGCCATTTAATGTTACTGTTTTATGATCTACCAGTGCCTTTAATTTATACTTTTATTGTGCATTTGGCATGTTGAAACAATTTTCACTCAAATAATTTAGCAGTCAAAAAATGCGTAATTAATATTAATTAAGAATTATTTTTTACTTTAGAATCATATTCCACTAATCATACAAAATAATTCTTAAAGTATAAATATTTTCATTTACGTGCCCATACTGAAGCCTTCCAGCATTTTCTAGAACTGGAATTCTGTAAGATTATGTGAATATGTTCTCTTATTTTGAAAGAAAGAAAAGTATATTGATCAATATGCATTCCTGGGCATTAAAACTGCAGCACCATGAAGAAAAGCAAATACAAAAAAAAAAAAAAAGATATTTATTGCACGTAAACAGTATGGCATGAAGACAAAATGATTAAATTTGTAAGAATTGTGAAGGTTTACAGGGAAGGGCGAAATTAGTAGAAATAGCCTAAACCCCTGTCAGCTAAAACGGCATGGAGTCAAATTGGGCTTGGATGACAGAAATAGGTAACTCATTCCATGCTGTTTCAAGTCTACGCCACAATTCATCAACCGTATAGCTGAAGAGGGGTGGAGGGCTAGTCTTTTAGCAACCAATGACCAGTTGTTTCAATGAGTGAATATTTGGTGGCAAGAGTTTGAAAAATGATACAGCAATTTATAATGAATCGATGCAAAATTTCGTTTCGAGACTGGACTAATGCCCGTTTGGACTAAAAAATTTATACCTTTCATCCTGCGAAACCGATCGCAACTGAAATCTCAAATTCTGCCGTACCCCAAGTATTTTCAGGATAAAAACCGACCGTGTTATTCGCGGATTTCGCTTTAGGAGGGTCTAAAATATCTACGCAGATTTATAAGGTTAATTTAATCATGAAATAATTAAGGAATACGTTTGACTAACTACATTTAATATAATTTGATGCTTTGGATATTTTTAAATTATTAATTACGTTCTAGTACAATTTACCTCTATTTAATGATATGTAGATAGACAGATAACCAATAAAAACTCAATCTCAATAAAATGTCTCAACAATGTCTCTCAATGAAAGTCAATGTCTCTCAATGAAAGTAACCTGAAATAATTTTGTTTTCAGAATTTTAAATTTAAATTTTATTGATAGGAATAATTATGTGTGTTCCATTTTGTCTTTTTTTAAAGGCGGAAGTTGTAGATCCATTATATGTGGCTGACCGTTTTTATCGAAGAGTAACTTCGAAACTAACTCTGATTCCGTGGGACTCTCCATCTGATAGTTATCTTCAAATCGAGCCAATTACAGAGGAATTAACATGCGAAAAAAGTCAAAGGGTTACAATACGGTATACTGCAAAGAAAGGAGATACGATCCAGTTCTACCATCAGGTACATTTCTAGATCCATACCAACAAATAATTTACTCAATTTCAGGACGAATTTTCCGAACTTAATGTTGTTCAAATTCTATTTTTCGAGAGATTATTCGAGATTTAAAGCCTAAAGTTTTATAGAAAATAATAATAATTAATATAACACTTTAAACACCCTTAACACTTATCTCCATTAAAGTTTTATTTTTTGTTTCTGTAAATTCAAAATGCGACAAAAGTGTAAAGGGATTATTATTATTACAAATGCAACCATGTTTATATACCATTTTGTTTATCAGCCTTTAATCATAATACAGTAAATAAAGGAGAAAGTAACTTTTTAAAAACTCAACTATCGTATAAGAATTTGTAGAAAATAAAGCAAAACTAATGCTGCCTTTTCAGCATAAAAACTTATCTTCAACCAATCCACAATTATAAATTATTGAAAAAATGAAAAGACAGAAAGTAAAATAAGAATATAATTAAAATACTAAATTTCCTTATTGCGCGTAGTAATTGGAAAGAATACTACACACCAGGAGGTAACAGGAATTTTAAATATATTCTCGCTTAAATTTGAAAATTTTAAATATTGGCTCAAGGTAACTAATTTTATAAGTAGTATTTCAATAAAATTGAGTTTATTTATAAGAAATATAATTTGTGCAGTACTCTGTCAAAAAGTACTTTTGCAGATTTTGCGCTTTAATCTTAATTGTACATGTAAACTTCCTCCGTTTGTCGTCATGTCCATTTTGATATAAATTTGAAAATCAGTTTTAAATTAAATGATTTTAGTAATCAGAACTTCTAATTTTTGTTGTTCAAGCTAAAGCTAAAAGTTGTAGTTAAAGTATTAATTTCTTCTTTTAACTATTATTTTATCCTTATTGAGCCAACTGTCTTCTTCTACAATTAAGTTCCAAATTGTTAGTTAAAATTTTCTTGTAAATTATTCATTTAAATTAAGTTTAACATGTAGTTTTTCTACCAGTTAATATGTACTTCCTCATAGAGTCTAAACTTTAAGGAAATATTTTTCAGGAGTAATAAACTATAAAGAAATATATAGATATTGTTACGAATTTTGTATATATGTTAATAATTTTAGTGAAATTATATGTGAAATTGTTGCATTTTCTGCATAACGCACCATGAAATGCTTAGCGAAGCTCTGTCGGAAAAACAAGATTACAGGGGCAAGTCATTGAGGTAATTGACTATCTCGCTAAATTGGCGAAATATTGCCAAACTGAAGACTAATTTTTGTCTCTAAATTTGACGAGAAATCCCCATTTGTGATATTTTGGTCTGCTCCCTGTGCGACTGTGATTAGTACTGTAGTTAAATAACTGTTATTGACCCCTATATGTAACAGTAACCTTATCCGGCCCTCATATGTCACTTCAACCATATATGCCTTCCAGGAATTTCGGGAAACGGATGGTACCAGATATTTCCTATATAAGACCCATGTAAAACTATATATGACCAGTTCCCAGTTTTTAATTTTGAACTGACTTCGGAGTATTGAGATCTCCACGCGAGCTTCGCCTTTTAGATGCGCTTCGTACTGCGTTGTGTTTAACTCTCTTAGCAGTTTGAAGTGTAGCTACTGATTGTGCTACACTTCAAACTGCAAACTGTGATACTGAGAAAAGCTGTAAGTACTTTTGTGGACAGTTCCAGAACTGTAACGTGTTTCTTTTGGGAAAATAAACCTTATTTTCCCAAAAGTACTTTTAAGGACTAAGGACTTTTAATGAAAACGATTAAGGATCTGTCAGCAGAGTGAATTGAATAAACTAAAGCAGTTACCTATACTCGAATTTAACTTTTGCAATAGCATTCTAAGAATGAAATGAATCTGTAAGTAAGATGCATTATTATTAAGCGTAATCTAATGTTTAACTCGATATTAAAATCAATTTTATATGATTTATCAGGTAATTATCACTAAATTGCAAAATTCCTCCAAAATTTTCACTTATAAGAGTCTCACATATTTTAAAGAAGATTAGTGACATTTAAGTTTTGCTAACAATCATCTTTTATGCCTCGTTTCGTCATGCACTTACTCAGACCAGAGGTTCATGAAAATTTTATGTCAAGCGGCATAGATTAAAATTAGACGTAAAATCATAACCAGCATGATTCGTAACAGAAGCTTCGCTGTTGCCGCCGCTGCTGATGACAAGGAGAGACAGAGACCCTGATCAAGACGGACATGAACGCCTGTGATAAGCTTGGCAGGCGCTTAGGTTTAGTTGCGCTTTGCCTGTCTGATCCAGTTAGTGCTTAGCTTCGCTTATAGTTGCTAGAGTCATAATCCAGTTAATATACAGCATTTAATACAAAATTCCAATAGGCTGCTGAAACTCTAAAAGAGGTGGTAAGTTGTTTTATATTAAGTCTCATTGGAACTGTAAGAAATAAAAGTTTTATGCTAACTTTTACATTTTTATCTTGTACCTTACATCTACATTAAGAATTAAGGAAAGACGATAACTGCATACGTAGAGATAACTTCAAAGGGTAAGCAGTTAGTTATAATTGCTTAGATATATTGTTAGTGAATCATTATAGATTTACAAGACCACAATTAATTTCTTTGAATTTCTAAAAAACATCTGTTAAAAAAGTGCTATTCAAATCATAATCTAAAAACATTTTACAATTTAAAATATACATAATTACGCATGGAATTTATTGTAATAATTCTAAAATGATATTAGGATAATTACACAAACTACAAAACATGTACTTTCGCTAGCAACAACACAAACATAACAATAAACTACATATGCATCTTTTTAATTTGAATATTTTCAAGATATTTTAGCTAATTTATATCAGTTTTATTCTCCTGAACACCTTTTTTTTTAATAAATAAATAGATGATCCCACTAGTCTCCGCTTAAAATCTCCTAATTTGTTAATGTTTTAACAATGTATTTTTGAGGAAGAATTTTCTTTCTCTTTATGTAATCAATACTTTCCTTCTTAACAAAGTTTCCCTACACTTTAGAATTTCAGATTTAATTGAATATTTCTGTTATTCTAAATAACTGCGTGTATTTAAAATGTATAGAAGATGCTAATTTTATTTCTTTAATAATATGAGAATTGAGAATAAATATGAAATTATACAACGCCTGGCCCGACACTATAACCAATGTGGCAGAATTTTTAGAAATTAATAAGCAGCATAATTTAGGGATGGCAGACACTGGGCAGCACAATTTAGGACCCACAGAGATTGCAATAGGTGGTCAAATGCCGGTGTATGCTGTATACGGTGCAGTAAGACATGTAAGATGAATTAGACGATAAATTTTTAGTCTTTAACTTCTCTATTAATAGAAAAATTCCTTCCTACAGATGCCTTACCATCTGACAAGATTAGAACTATTTTTGCCATTTTCTCTGCTTGTATCTAGTGAAAAGATGAGAAACTAAAGGGAAGATAAACATATAAAGAGAAAGACTTCCAGGATCAAAAGCAGAAAATTCAAATAACTTTGTTTTCACTGTTCTTCCAAACATTTTCCAAAAAATGAAAAATTCTTGACAAATTGCCTATAAAACGCATTCAGTACCGTGAAAACATCTTTCATTTGGTCACATTTTTCTGGAATCTTCTGAAATCGTAAGTTAATAAATCTTGTTTTCAGATTCCTTCCGAAGTGCGCTATCTAAAAATTATCACTGCCCACTCTGCAAGTCTCTTCAACTACATAGAAAAGTATAAAAAAAGAAAAACGAAATTAACTTAAAAATAACTAAAGTAGCATTTTGCTTTTGTCAAGGAGTGCTTCGGAAACTGAGTTTCATAACATTTATTATCGTATTTATTTTTCAAAATAAAAATATTCGCCAAAATGAAAATTAATATCGTTTAAAAATATGACATGAAAAAGTGAAAATATTTTATTTTAATGCTATTTCTTAGTTATAATTTTAATAAATTATCACTATTTCAATAATATTTATAAATTTTATTATGTTGTTAAAAAAAATTCTCAAATATCAAAAAAGAAAATTGTATACAAATTGATCTTGAAATCTCCAAAGTGTTAATAAATCGACAAATCTAGTATTGAATAATAAAATAAATCATATCTCAAAAAGGGAAAGAATGTTTTTACGTAATATTTTATGAATTCTTCATTCTCAAAAAAGAAATAGCTTCAAAACGTTTAATGTTTTAATCGAGACATGGTATAGTGCCCTATTAAGTAGAAAAAAATTCAAATGACAACCCATCAAATGCATATTTGTGAATGAATCGAAAACATTTCTTCCAAAATGTTAATTCACACTCAAAATGACAGTCGTAAACAACAGACAGAAAAGTCGGATGAATAAAATTAAGGACCTTTTGCCAATTTGTGCCCAAACTGAGGTGTTTTAAGAACCAAAGATTGTTTCTAAAAACACCTAAGGACTTTAAAGGACCGTACGAGCCTTGATATAGGGATCAATTGTAGTTATTTGGCTTCAGTACTAAAAACAGGTGTACAGGTACCAGACCAAAATGTCGCCAAAAAGGTAGCCAAAAGTGGCGCCTTTTTTCGATTTCTAGTTATTTTTCACCAAAATTTAATAGCCATAATCATTGCTAGCTTAGCGGTATTTCTCCAGTTTGGCGAGACAGCCAATTACTTGCAATTAAATAGGCGTGTCCCTGTAAACTTATTTTTCAGTCAAAGCTTCTCTTCGTCGAAGTTTTCATGTTACATTATCCAAAATTCTTAACATTATGTTCATTTAATTATTTAGAAGCAAATTATTCTAGTTTGTCAGAAGATATTCAAATAGAACATGGATAGAACACAGCAAAAATGCAACATTGAAGTTAATAAAACTAAATACCTGAATTAAAATATATCATAAACAAGCTTTATTTAAACAAACTAAAAATTAATTTTAAAAGAAAATTACACCTGCAATATGCACTGCAGCTCAGTATATAATTTCTATTGCACCTAATATCTAAGGTCGTTGAAGTGCAACTATAAATTAAAACTAGCGTAATCAAAAAATCACTATTTTTCATTTATTTTTAAAGTCAATAAATATTTTTATGAAATTGTTCTAGCCAGACTCAGTGAAATTAATTCTAACTACTGGAATCATTAAAGTCCTTATACAAATATATATGTGTGTGTGTGTGTGGAGTGGTGTGTTTGTCGGGTTGTGTGTGTTTTTTTTTGTAAATAAAAAAAAATATGATGCTGTTTTATTTAAAAAAATAATTGGACGACTCAAATAACATTCTAATTTGGGAATCTGCCCTAAATCATCTCTTCACAGGTTCCAGCCTTTCTTCCTATGTACGTTTAATGCAGATGCCTTCGTCCAATCAAATAATCAAACCAAACTGTGAACTGAAACTCAGCTTCTTGATAGAAAGTACTATACTTGCCTTTTCCACGTTAGCTTCCTGTGGTAAGACGCATCTACCATGCTGTGCGTTACTTACTTAAGATGACGTCTACTTCAAATTGCAAACTTACTGATTCAAATATTTAAGAAAATATCTGTCTTAAAAGGATGATTTTTATCGATGGAAAAATAAAGATTGTGATTTTCAAGATATGTTGCTGCTAAATTGCGTCATCATGCTTTCCACTCTGCCACCTTCAAACCACAGTTTCATTACATATATATAGGTATATATTTGGTTTTTCTTACATAAAAATTATTTTAGGCGGCACGCAATGGCTAGAAATCAAAATTAATGAAGTGCTCTTATATTATATGTATTCGTATTCTTTTGTGAATGTCTGTTTCCAAGCTTCAATCTTTAAATTATAATATTTGAAAAATATGCAAAAGTTAAAGCTGTTTTTTAGGCTTTTAAACTTTCCCTCTGCCACTGCTTAATTAAAAATTAACCACACGGTAAAACTCCGAACAGCGTGTTTTTTTTTTTTTTTTTTTTTTTTTGCGCAGTGCTTGGAAGGAATGGCATAGCATACAATCCGTGAGGATTTTGATGGAGGAGATGTAAATTATGAACATACGATAATTTGTCCATGCTTTCGGAATAATACTTAACATAATCATCAATCATAACTTTGTTTTGACAGCTGTTTGAAAACAAATTAATAAGCTAAGATGTAAGATATGTTGATACAATTTCTAATTTAAAAATGAATATGGGCAATAGCATCAAGAAAATTAGAAATCTTTAAGACCGCTATTTTAAAACCTCCATCTATGTTTCAGGTACTGTCAAGAGGTAGGATCGTGCAGCAAGGTTCCCACCAACGAACATTTTACTTTAATGAAGATGCTTTCGAAGATGACAGTACAAAGATTTTCAGTGATACTGTAGTTGGAAATTCTGTCTCGCTGTCAAATGTCGGAGAGTTTGTTCTTAGTTTTATACCGAAAGCGACCATGTCCCCTATTGCCCGATTGCTTGTATTCTATGTACGTGAAAATGGGGAGATAATTGCCGATTCAAAAATGTTTCGCATACAGAAATGCCTGATGAATAAAGTAAGAAGCATCTTTGTTTCTATATACAAATATATATATTTGCTTTCATGTCAATTTTAACAACATTTGTCCTTTACAAAAGATATTTAAAACAGCATAATATGCAAACTGTCTATAAGCTCTGGAAAATGTTTCTGATTATCTATTAAGATTTTAGATTTTTTTAATTTTAGGTAAGGTTAAATTTTCGTCACAAACAGCAGTATCCAAGCACAGAAGCTACTATGCTCTTATCTGCAAGTCCTTTTTCCATTTGTGGCATTGGCTTGGTCGACAAGAGCATTCAGTTACTAAGCAAAGACACGAAGTTCAATAAAGAAAAGGTTGGCAAGAGAAGTTTTTCCTTGATTGACATTAATTGACATTGCAAATGACAGTTCCTGTTGTACCTTAAACTACTGATTTCTTTCTATGTGATTTGTTTTATCTAGTTGTTCCAGTGGATGGAAAGCCATGATGTCAGTTCGGATACTGAACCTCGCCGATCCCGAAAGCATCGCTGCAATCCATATCCTTTACGTAGGTTTCCATAATTCTTTTATTAAGAGGACTCATACACCTTAAAACCCATAATATCGTCGAATATGTGAACGTTACAAGAATTGGTATAACTTATTTATTTTATTTTAAAAGCAATTATTTCCAACTTTTTACAGCTGACTACATAATATAGCGCTTTCTGAAATAGTAATCAGAAAGTTGTGTTGCACAAATATTTTTATAATTTAATCGCTTTGTGGTAAAATGTTTCGTCATGTTTTTACCTGCGCGCACAGTTTAAAAATTCTGTTTGCATAATTTAATTCCATATTTAATATATAGCTTTAATAACATTTAGAAACATGGTGAACCAAAAATTCTAAGAATTTCCTTTTAAATTTTATTTTAATTGGAGTTGAGTTATAAATGTATTGTAAGTATTTTCTTCCTTCATGTTATACGGGGTTCGTGTGGATTTGGAGTGAATAACGACAACACGTCTTGATGAAGTATCAACCACTTTATTGGCAAGTTATTATCAGGGACAGCTCCAAAACACTTTTCAGTCGTCGATGAATATATAAACACGCTGAATGATCAGCGACACAGCCTTCAGTAACATGCTATCCGTGGGAAGCTTCTGCAAACCACCAGAGTAGAGTATCCCGACTCTGCTCGGCGTTCTCGGAACTCCACGTACTCTCGAGACCTCAAGCTAAACTCGCGATGCACTCGACAACACACAGAGCACTTCCGAATCTTCGATTCAGTCGTTCCCGGAGCCAAACACGCTCTCTCGACGATGCACTAACGCGATACTAAGAGACTCCTTCGGTGACTCGAAGACCCACTCGGCACTCGCTGCCCGGCTGTCAACGGGATGACTCCGCAGGATTGACTAGCTAGACGGGACACCAATCGATAACTGACTATCTCGCACTCACCGAGGCAATCTCAATCGCCTCTCGACGAGGACACTCTCGATACTGCGAACCAGGGTTTGTATAGCATTCGCTTGTTCGAGAACATTCTGCTAAACCGGAAAGATTCGTTCAGAGCTTCTCCAACGTCCGTGGTATTTCGCACCATTTTTGTAGCAAAATGGGCGTTTTTCGCCATATGTGGCAACCCTGCCCCTTGCCTTTTTGGCAGCCTAAAACTGTTGCGGGAAAGCTATCTCACCGCTCCTGTACATTTTGAACGTATTTTATTAAAAATCTGTAATGTTTTTGCATAAAATTTTTGATATAAAATATTCATCAGATTTTTGGTTCAGTTGGAAAATAGGGCCACATACAGAATTCCATAAATCAATGTGTACCATGCCATTTTAAATATATTGCGCCAAGGTGGACACCTGGCGAAAAATGTCGTCACAAGCGGATGAAATTACAAAAATTTATTGGCAACAGAAACTTTCTGGTTACTAGTTCCTAAAGCAGCTATATTATGTAGTCAGCTGTAAAAAGTGGAAGTAACTTGCTTTTAAAATAAATAAAATATCCCAGTTCTTTCAACAGTTACATATTCGAAGATCATAAGGGGTTTAAGGTGTATGAGCTCCCTTAAGGTTTAAAATGACAAACTAGTGCAAATATTTTCATTAAAATAAGGTACATGGATAAAAAGAGAACAAATTTATCTAAAATAAAATTGAGTAAGTTAATATTATAGGTATATAATTATACTTTTTTCAACAAGTTTGAAAGTTTAGGAACTTAATGACAAAATAGAATTACCCGAATATAAAAAAGACAATGGTCTTCATTTTTTAAATTGGATTTGCTGTTTTAAATTAACATATGATGCTTTTGGAAATGATATTTAAATTTGTGCTGCGTCAGAGTATTTTGCAAATTCTAAACTTTTTATAATAGTAAAAACACTCATATTATATTATAGAATTTGATCTTCTTTAGTAACATAAACTAGTTCCAAACTCCTAACAGATGTTAAGCGAATTATCGCTGTGCCTGGGAACAACAAAAGGCTGTTGTTGTTTCCAGGCACAGCGATAATTCAACAAAGTCTTGAAAAGATTTTAATAACCTTTTTTTATTAAAATCAGAAAGTAATAGATGAGCATATTTTGTGCTTGACAAACTCGGCCAGCCACTTTTGACGAGATAACTTAAAGTAAGAGTCAAATTTCAAATTTAAATAAGTTAGCGGTCAAAGACTACTCAATAGAATTTAATACAAAGTTTGGCTAATAGAACTAACCAGCGTAAGTATTTAAATGTCGGCAGCTACAACGCAAAACCCAGAATTACAGATCTTATCACAGCTGGTAGAAACCAGTTCTGTGGCCTTGTGAAGCAGAAACAAGCTCTGTCTTACAAACTTGAGCAAATTCTGACCGAATTACCGCTCAAGGTGCTATTATTTCGCCCAATTGAATAAGCCATAAAGGAACCTGACGATGAAAAAAATCATCCGAATGAAAAAATCATTGACGATCAAACCGAAGTAACCTCACTTATGAGAAACCAAAGGAAGGGACGGAAAAGGGGGGCCGTGAAACCTCACAGGGCTGAGAGAACGAGAAAGTCTCTGTTGAGAAGTGGTGAAAGCCCAAAAACTACAACCTCAGTCATTTTACAGAAAACAGTCCTAATAAATTCTTTCATAAAATTTTAAGACTTAAACATTTTTTTTCAAAACAAAATATTATTGTTTTGACATATTCCAAAGAAACCTGGAATGTTCTCATGTTTCAGACACACGAGGCAATAGCGACCATGAAATGACAATGTTTAAGTGGGGCACAGAGGGAGAAAAATGGCCGGGGGAAAAGGCAGAAGATTTGAAAGTTCAGTCGCAGCCCGGCTCAATACTGAAATTCGGTAAGCCTTCGATAACAACATCAAGTGTGGAAGAAAACTTAGCAACATTATCTCAATCCAAGAGTGAAATTAACGAAAAACCTGATGGAAGTCACGAAAACTGATGGAAGTCACAAAATATTCATTCATTATAATAATGGATATTCACGAAGAGTCTAAAGAGCTCAAAGAAAATTATAACTTCGGAGATAATCGTAATGAAAAAACACGAAATTAGAAGATAGGGCATCAGACAAAGCAGAAGAAGGAGTGGATGAAAAATAAACAAATAGCAATATTTTGTTTCCTGGTCTATCTGACTGGCCTCTCCTAATTCCAGATAGTCTAATAGTTGGCTTAATTAAAAGAAGAGAAGCAAAGGTAGTCAGTCTATTTCAAGCGATAATAGAAACTCACCGTACAATTAGCAAAGCAACAACCTAGCGTTTGGCTTAGATATTAGTTAGAACTCAAACACAGGGCAGTTGTTTTGTCTAATTTTTGTTTTGTCTAATTTTTGTTTTGTCCATTTCTTTCAGTTGAGACTCTGCTAACAGTCATTTAACGTCTGGTTTGCTCTATATCAATCAGCCAAATGACGAGAAAATTCCGAGAACCTGGATGACATACTCAAATAAAAATCAAATTGAATTTTTTTCTTGTTATTGTAGGCTTTTTAACTCAGATGAACGTTTGAGTAACACATCTAAATTTGCAACTGGTTTTCAAGCTTGGTGTGAAACTTATCCGAACGTTCACAACCATGAATCTTCAGAAAAACATGAAGCTTGTTTTGCAAAATGGAAAACGTTAAGAAGAAATTCAATTGCTAACAGAACGGTTGATCCAGTTAGCCAGATATCTTCGGAAACGGAAAAAATAAAATGAAGAGAGCTTTTAAAAAGACTCCTAGAAGTCACATTGTTTTTAGCTAGATGAGTCAACTCAATCACCGTCGATTAAGATACTACTAAGCTATCTGTCTCTGACTACACAAAATGAGTGTATCTCACTTCTAGGCGGAATTGTTAAGGAAAAGATTTTGACTAATATTGACGATCTTTCGGGAAAATGTTGAAGTTACAGCTAAACAGCTTTCAGAAACAAGATGGAGTGCTCACTGCGAAGTTGTTAATCCTATATTTAAGTGCTTTAAAAAGATTGCAGATGCCACTGAGAAACTGTGCGATGTTTTAGAAACGATCGAACCCAGAGCAGAAGCTCAGACACTAGTGCCTACAAAATGTGACTTCGCATTTTGCGCTTTTTATTTCTATGGGATAATGTCTTAGAAGTACTCAACTACGTTCAAAAATATTTTCCGTTTCTTGGAAAATGCTTTGAAAATTCTGTTCTCAAGATAAGAAGTCTGAAAACCTTTGTAAAAGAAAAAAGAAATTACCTTGTTGAGAAAACCCTTCAGTTTGGAAGAAGGCATTTTTGTACTAGAACTGTCAGTAAGAAGAAAATTATGGCTGCAGACGATCAGCTGATTCTGGACCAAGAAATGAAAAGACCAATGTTATAATGCATTGAAGGGTTTCAACAAGAAATCGATACACGTTGCGAAGGCATGGAATGTATATCAGATCTGTTTGCAGTCTTGGAGCATAGCAATGTGATCGAAACCTCAGAAACTGACTTCTCAAGTTAGTGCAAAGTTGGTTCGAAACTACAAATAAGCTTTCTGCAGATGATATCGTTATAGAAACTCCACTGTTAAGAAGATATTCTGAAAGCCGTTAATGTTTCAAAAGAAAAGTCTAAGTTCCATATTCTTCTGACAGTCTTCCATCAGATTCTTAGTGTTGGTGGTTGAATACGAGCTTTTCGACCCTGTTCCTTACTTTAGCATTAAGGTTTTTCTTTATATGTTTCTGTTGCATCATGTGAGAAGAGTTCTTTGAAACTCAAACTGACTAAGAATTATCTCGGATCCGCTATGAGCCAAGCACGAATCTCTACCTCACCCATTTTGTCAACTGAAAAGAGTTTAGCTAAATGTATCTATTTCAAAATTTGAGAATAAAAACTTTGAAAGAACAGATTCTGAATATCATGTTGAAGAACAGTTTGTTGAGTTAGAGCCTAGAGAACAAAACTTGTAAACAGTTTAGTTTTGATTAAATTGTTTTATAATAATAATAATAACAATAATAAAGTTATGCACTAAGTACTATCACTAAGAAAAAAGATTTCTTATATTATATATTAAGCTGACTCATTAATAAAAAGGTATTTTACTCGCTTATGTTTTCAATCATAAAAAAAATTGTTTGAAGAATAATTAAAGTTATGCTCTTTTAACTTATCTAAAAGAATTAAAAAATTGCTTTGAAACTCTGCACCTGGTACAACCATATTTGGCTTCGCCACTGATTAATAGGTATTTCTCACGATACACTATTTATCATGAAAGGATGAAAAGAAATGCTTTCTGTACATGTAATAAGCGTTATGATATAACTTTTGATACATTACTTCATTCGTTCATTATACTTTTCAGTATGTAGTATAAGAATACTAGTAATGCATGCAGTATGTTTGAGATATAATTATATTACAATAGAGCTTTTTGCGGAAAATGTTAAAAATGTTTTCAGGGAATACATATATTATGAACTTCGATCCTGATGTCTGTTTTAAGTTTCAAACTGTCCTCTACCACTTCATAACTTACGTCAACACTCAAGGAAAATTTTGCATATATATATCTTCTGACAGAAATGTACTGTTGCTTGCATACGAGTTCGCAATAGATTGAATGCACACGAAATCTGTGAGAGGTTGATAAAATTTATTTTACAAAAGAAACACTTCACACTTCTGGATTTTTCTAGGAAAATCCAAGTACAGCTCTTCACAGTACCACTGAGTACAATCAGTAAGTACAACGCAATTCAAAGCGCTATAAAGTATTTTCTCTCTTCTTTCCGCATGCCTTCGTCGTGTAATTGGAAGCATACCCGACGCATATTCGAGAGGTCCAGGTTTCGAGTCCCGACAAGGACAGTGAAAATTTTTCAGGTATCCTTCTTCGAAAGGAACCTAATGACTCTACAGCGAAACTAACGATGAGCGAAACTAACACGGAGATTTCTCAAGACTCACGCTGAATTAAACAACTAACTCCCCGGTCTTATATATTTTTATCTCGGTCGCCCAAACATTTTTAGTACTTTCCACTTCTCGAAATTTCTGGAAGGCATATGAGGGCCGAATACAACTACACATAGCATCAATTAGATACTTAAATACAATAACCATTAAAATTATACAGGGATCGAACGACAAATATCACCAAATGATCGCCAAGTATGACTACTTTGGCGATTTTCTTGCTAAATTTGGCGACCAAAATTAGTTGCCAAACTGTCACCAGTGTGATATCTCACCAATGAAGCGAGATAGCTATTTGCTCAATGTTAAATAGACTTGCCCCTGCATTCTTATTTTTTCGGTAGCTTCGCTTCTTTAGATTTTCATGTTACATTATGCAAAAAGACGACTACAGTTTCACATAAAATTTCACTAAAATTATTTACATATGTACAAAATTCGTAACTGTACCAAATTTTGCTCCACATTAGCAATGCAAATATCAGTCTCAGTTTTGTTTATAAATAAGTTATTATGTATATAAAACCGTAGTTGCTCATACCTAACAAAAGTGTGAAACTACATCAACTGAAATATCAAGATGAAATGAAATTCTTAGGGTAATAGCTGTCTTGTCAATGATAAGGTGTACAATGTCATTATACCTGTAATGGTTAAAATCATACTGGCACCATAATTTGGATTTTTAAACACATATCTTTAGTACCAGCAATTAAATACTGTGGGGAAGAAACTACACGCACTTTAGAAATCAGTATAAAAAGTACGTTTAGAAACATCATCAATTTCTTACAATGAAAAGAGTGCGGTGACTGAGACTGAGGAGAACAAATGACTGTAATGATTTATTTACTTGTTTATTTATTTATTTTTTGGATTAATTCCTGATTTGAATTAAAATTAAATATTTAATATTATTTTTAATACCTTAGTGTCATTTTATTGATATTTTCTATAGCTCAACAACGGAGAGGCTCTTTCTCAGCTTGGAGAATGGACTATGAATTAGACGGATTTCCTGAATTTTACTTTAATGAAGACCGTGCAGATTCCGTTAATGCTTTCGAAGTAAATGAATTGCAATTTTTTTAATTCAAGTAATTCATTCATTATTCTTAGGCCCACCAGCGGCCGAGCGGTAAAGTCGCTGAGCACTGGTAGTTCGGTCCGAGGTTCGAATCCTGCGAACTGGATGGCTGCATGGGCGTTTTCGTGGTTTTCCCTGTATGTAACGTATATACAAGCCAGTTTCCCTTAGAAAGTCCTCCACGAAGGCATCCCTCCCCTTAAGCAGATAGCCCTAGTGTGCTTTGCCATAATTAAATAAACCGAACCAAAAACCATTCATTATTCTTAACATAAATTTTTCCACTTTAGCAAATGCCTGTGGCGTAGCTAGGAGGGAGCATCGAGGCGGGAATAAAAGGAGACACCCTTACCCCACCACAGCTGACGTAGTGCTGCTGAGCTCAGGTAGCCGAAGGGGTTGTGGTACTTTTGTTTACATCCAGAGTACGTAACCTTGGCAGTCGCTTGGTAGTACTTCCGCACAAGACTTAAAACAGAAGGGCTAGCTCATATCATTTTTCCCTGAAACAGGAAGTGAGAAGTGATGACGTAGCCATGCTGACACTGAGCACGGTGATGCAATTCCCAACATAGAAATTAGCGTTTTAAATTTGAAAATCCAGCGTCTAAAATGAGCTGTATGTGAAAGATAGCTATAATTTGGAAGAGACAATGTTACTGCTGTGTGTATTTTACATTTAACATTAAAAAATTTAATAATGCTTACTCGATTTTAAAATAATAGATAAAATGCACTACTCTTTTAACATAAAGTTTCATTTTTCATTTTTTTTAATGTGTGTTTATTTAAAATCATTTCTTTATCTGCATGCTAATTGAGAGAATTCTTATACTGCTTCTACTAAGATAACTATAATAACAGCTATTTAATAACTGCTATAATAACAGCTACCTTAGATAGACATAGTTTTAAACATATATGGCAAAATTTATGCTAATATAAGGTTGGTTTTTTTTGCTTAGTTGTAAATTTCACATTGACATATTACTTTTTCTATTCAGTATAATATTAGGTATTTTATAAATAATTTTGTAACTTACATTTATATTGCATTTAAATAAATATAGGTAAGATTTTTATCTCAATTTTGACAAAACAGCTTTACTCACAGTACCTAAATTATTTAATTTTTCAAACGTGGGAATTAATAAGGCAGGTCTTTATATGCCATCTGCTTCATTAATCTGCGTCTTTGTAAAAATGTGCTTTAGATGTTTTTCTGAATTTCTGATACAAATTTCTTTCTAAATGTCGTCCACCTTCTTGTCTCTGAGCAAATATTTAATTTTTTTCTTTTCTCTATTTTTCAATATTTAATACAATTTTCTAAGGATATTATTTTTTCCTCAAATTATCAATGCATCCTGTTTATCTTTACACTTAAGTATTCAGGGACATTTACACTGTCTTTATGGTTTTATTTCAAAATCATTCACATTTGAGTTATTATTGTCATCATCGATTTCGTTTCGGCCTCAAAATGAATTTTCTTTAAGCTTAATTTGTGTAGTCTTTCAAAAGCACTCTGCATAAGTTTTCTTTTCACTTGTCTCTGATTTCTTGGTGTTATTTCGTTTACTGTATACGGTAAATTTACTTTTGGCATAACATTATATTTCAACAGTTTCTTTTGTGGCTATAACAACAAGCAGTTTTTCATATCATCTTCATAAACACTGCACAGAAAATGTTCGCTGCATACTCTTCCGCTCTTCACATTGATAAAATCTTGTTTGTGACATTTATATATCTATTCTTTCGTCAAAAGTAAATTGTCCTTTGGGAAACCATAAAATGCAATATCTCCTCCTTTCGTATTTCTGTAAATGTTATGGCACGTTGCTACAGTGCAAAAAGCCACATTACAGAAACTATACTTTACAAGATAGTATTTAAAAGGAAAAACTGATAAAACTGTATATATATATTATATATATTATATATATATATTATTTTTAATATCATTGTTAGAAAACAAATATATATGATTAAAATTAATTTTGGGATATGCGACCTCCAGAAAATCGCCTCGCAGCTCAATGAAACTACAGTTTTAAACGCGCGAAATCAGAACAGGGTGCAGTTATAAAAGAGACCTTCTTTCTTATAAGGTCCATGGGTGCAGGACAGTGACGTCATATTACTGCCGGTTAACTCCCCAGTATTAGGTTCGCGTCTGCGAGGAGTTGAACAAAGGAAGGAACTAGTCCTTTCTTTTTGTCCCTGGTTCCGCATAAATCGAAAAGCAGGAACGCTTCCTCATAAAAGAAATATTCATTGTAGGATGGGTAATAGCAATTCGTATAGTTTAGTGGCACTTTCGCACAAATCACAGCTTGGTTATCTTTCTATAACTTGCAACAGAGATTTTTATTATGAATTTGTTTTACAAAATTCTAAGCTACTGGACTCCAAAATTATAGACATTATCAAAATGTTTGTGCTATGTGTAAGGAATGATAAATACCTTAAAGTTACCTTTAAAATGTCAAAACATCGCAACAAACATAAAAAATTACCATCAGTGTGTAGATTCATTATGATTTTTGGAAGCCTCAGAGATGAAAAATTAGCAACCGCCTTCGCCGGGAATCGAACCACGAACCTCTGGAATACCGACCCAGCGTGCTACCGTTACACTACGAAGGCACGCTAGGGAAGTGGGAGAAATACCTTATATACTCCCCTTTTCAAAGGGCGACTAGGGTTTTAGGGGACCTAAGTCGCCAAATCCTGGGTGCAGAGAATCATCATCCACAACCCTTTTAGTTCGGGCGGCACTTGTAGAGTCATTAGATTTATTGGAAGAAGGCAAGATGAAAAATTAACAATCGCCTTCGCCGGGAATCGAACCACGGGCCTCTGGAATACCCCAGCGTGCTACCGTTACACCACGAAGGCACGCTATGGAAGTGGGAGAAATACCTTATAAGTATTATTAATTGATATGTCAATATATTTTGCACATCGTAACATTTTCTATTTCCTTGTAACATGTAAATTTCCGGTATTTGTGAATTAAAATCAATTAGATGTTTCAACTTAGAGGTTACAAATTCTGGCAGCATGGCGTACGTCGATCGTTTAACGTGTGCCCGCCGCTGTGCGATCACAATAAAAATGTTACAGTTTTCAATAATATTCTATGTGAAAGTTTTCTCATTTTCAATTAAGTAGAAATTGCGTCCAACACAAGTAAATGGTACCCGCCGTTCAAGAGATATTCTAGAATGGGCTCTTAGCGACAAAAAGGTTGGGGGACCCTGTTTTAACTTTTTCAAAAAATAAAGCAATGTTGGTATGCAGTATAAGGCAAAAAAAAAACTGCAATCTGATGACAATGAGGTTAATGTTTAGCTTTGAAATGGATAGTTGTTATTTATTATATTATCAGAGAACTATTAAATTAAATAAAACTGCTAAGAGAGGTATTGAATGCTCTGCCAAAATATATTTACTAGAAAACCTGAATTTGATCATCAATGTATTTGGAAACATGTTTTAAGTCAAATGTTTGGAATTTAATGGCTAAATGTGAATCTAAAGTTATGCAGGTTCAAATATTTGTAATTTGGCATTAGCTTAACTTTTATAGGGTAAAGTATGTAAGGGCTATCTGTTCAAGGAAAGAGATCCTTTCGTGCAGGACCTTTCGAAGGAAATATGTGCCAAATTTTTGTAAACTACTTTAATCGAAAAATATAGTGAATGCACAGAAATTAGAGATTTGAGCATGACGAAAATGAAAATTATTAAACGAATTATGCGTATTTATTCATATACTTGTAAAATGCATGCATTTACCTCTAGAAAATAAATATTTATTAAATTATTTGTAAATGAATTTGAAAATGAAGGATTTATACGCTTGTGAACGTTACTGTAAAGAAATCTAGCTATTAAATATATCTGTATTAATAATGATTATAAATATTATCTAAATACATAATGACCTTAACATTTAATTGTAAATGTAAACTGAAATTTTGTTGACAAATATTATTTATAAAACTATAAAAGCAAGAATTTTTCGTAAAAGGAAACCTATTAAAAGGTGTCATAAAGCACAATCTATGAGATGAGTACTTAAGGAAATAGTAAAGTATAGTTTTTAGAATGTGTACTGTTGAAATCAAGGATAGAAAAAAATTATAAGCATAAGAAGGATTATTTCCTTACATTTTATAATAATTCATCTACAAGTTTTATATAATATTAACAATCCCCCTTCCCTTTTAGAAATATTCATAGAAAGTTGAGTACATAGAAATCAGAAGTAAGCAACAATATCTAATGCATTTTACTATTAAAATAAAAGGTGCTCTAATTTGAAATGAACCAAACAAAGCATTAATTGCACAGTGACTATCATTTTTGATTTAATACTTCAGAAGCTGAAAATTATCTCATATATGAGAAAGTATTTCAGAAAGAAGCTCTGTAAATACAAAATAAATAATGCGTAAATTTAATATTAAAAATATGATAAACGCTGATTTTAATTTGTGTATTCGTTAACAGAATAAAATCGAATTACCTTAAAATTTCTTTCTAATATAATTAGCGAAAACTTGTGAAAATATTTCTTCAAATTAAAACAGTTCTGATCAAACTATTCTAAAACTATTCATAAAACAGCAGAAAAATCCCTCACTGAAATGAATAAAAAACAAAACGTTTGTAAGCAAAATGCATGAATCAGACAAGCAAAGCAAAGAGTTTCGGTGAGTACATTTTGCAACTTTCAAGTTATGTTTATGTTTTGTACATTTGGATATTGTGCTTTGCTTGCCTGATTTCATGCATTTGCTTACAAACGTTTTGTTTTCTATTCATTTCAGTGAGGGATTTTTCTGCTATTTTGTGTGTACTTTATTATTGCTCAGTTAATTTAGTTTGATTTTCTGCATTGTTTATCTGCCTTCATCCGTTAATCGTTTCACTAAATTACGCCTGAAACGGCAAAAATTCCTGAATCATCTTGACTTTTTACTTAAATGTAAATGTAAAAAATTGATCCCCCAATTTTATTCAATCAAAACTAATCAAAAACTTTCGAGTCGCGTTTCAAGAATTCTGATAAATTGCAAGCTTGCCTTACTTCGGTCCGTGATAGGGATACACGTCAAACAAATTGTCCAAAGTTGAACATGAACTCTATAAGCTTCATCTGAACTCGCTAAATCATATCCAAAATTCACTGGCCTTGAGCAAAAGTCTTGGTCTAGAACGGAGAATGCAGTTAACCGTCATAAAAACACCCTTGCAGTTAAATTCGAAAAACTTCTTTTACAGTCTTCCAGTTCAAGTAGTTCAAAAAATCTTCCCATTAAAACATCAAGCCAATAGTTAATATTTCTAATGTTAGTCTTTCAGAGAAGAACAAGAGAGAATTCTAAAATATAATTTTAACTTCTCACAAAACCTGTAAACCCTCGATTCCAAAGATTTTGGCTCCTATCGAAAAAGCTTTCAAGTTCAGTAAAGTTTCAGATTCCAGAAAGAACTGATTAGGCATCTTATCGCTTATAATGTGAAATTCAATAATAACCTTTGAAAACCAAATCTAACTAACTGCGAGAGAAAGAGCTACAATGCGCGAAATTTATTCTAACCCGGATATTATCATTTCAAAGGCCGACAAAGGTGGCCAGATAGTCGTCATGGATAAGAACACTTACAACGATGGTGTCACTAAACTCTTAAACGAAGGACCATATAATCCGATCCCTAAAGATCCTTCACCTTCGGACTTATCCAAAATAAAAACTGCGATCAAATCTTCGCAAATCATTTCAAGCAACTTAAAAACATTCGCTTATCCCATCTGTTGCGAATTGTGCCAGATTATATGCTCTTCCCAAAATTCATAAAAGTGGTATTCCTTTCCGCCCTATTGTATCAAATTAGGTACTGCCTCGTATCCTTTAGCTAAATATTTAGTTTCTAGATTTTCCACTCTATTAGACAATAACATTTACACCATAAAAAATTCAATAGAGTTTGTAAAAAAGGTTAAAAACATTTCTCCTAGTAATTTACTCATGGTTTCTTTTGATGTAAAATCATTATTCACCAATGTCCCAGTGGAGGGTGCATTAAGATGTCTAGAAACCAACTTCGCGAATTTCATTTCTCTTGCATCGAAATTGATGAGCTAATTTCTCTCACTCAACTCTGTTTGAAACAAACACATTTTGTTTTCCAAAATAAATATTACAAGCAAACTGAGGGATTAGCCATGGGAAGTCCCCTCAGTCCCATCCTGGCTGATATCTACATGCATTATTATGAATCAAAATTGTTTGAACTTTAAACTTCCCGGCATGGTTCCGCTACGTAGACGATACTTTTACCCTGTTTGAAGGTAATAAAGATGATTTAATAAAGTTCTTTCAACAATGAATTCTATTGATCCTGGCTATTCAGTTCACTTTTGAACTTGAGACTTGCAATCTCTTCCGTTTCTCGACATTCTGGTCACACGTAACACATCCAACTTCAGTACTACAGTTTACCGTATACCTTCATCGGTTTTTGCCTTCCACCACACTTTAAATCATGTCATCCGACTAAACAAAAGTTAGCTTCATTTTATTCCTATGTTTTCCGTGCTCTTCAAGTTTGCTCCTCCAAACTAGCCCTTGATGAAGAACTAAATTATTTAAAAGCCAATAGCTATTGACAGGGGCTTTTCACCCAACATTATTAATCAAGCCAGTTTTAAAAAATTCTCATCTCAACACACTAAAAGCCACACTCTTATTTTAGGAGATTATAAAAATTCTGTTGTCATTCCCTTCTTTTCATCAATTAGCTATAAAGTTGCACATGTTTTGCAGAAATTTAACTTTCGGTTGTTTTTTTTTCTCCCATCAATAAAATTCCAACTTCTATACTCAAGGACCCCATTCCGGATATGAATTCCTGGGGTATTTATAGGATTCCTTGCCAGTGTGGTTTAATTTACATTGGCCAAACTAAGAGAGCCTTAAAATTTCGCGTCAAAGAACATGAGGCATATGTTAGAAAAAAAGGAAACACAGAGGTCTTCTGTTGCTCAACATTGTTGGTCCGAAAATCACACTTTCAATTTTTCTGCTGCCAAAATTATTCAGAAAACATCTTCCATTGGAGAACTGGATTTTCTAGAGGCATTTCACATTCATAAAAATCTTTCTGTTCTAGTTAACGATCCTAATTCCAATCCAAATTTGCCTTCGGCTTTAGAGAAATTATGTTTTAGTTCTGGCTTCTCCAACAGATGGCGCCACTTGCTTATTCTTGTCCAGGCTTTCTTATCTTATCTAATCATTATTTCCTATCTTGTTCATTTGCGGTTTTGCAGCTGAAGATGATGGTTCGGTTAAACCATCGAAACTAGTCCTGTGAAAATTTTGTAGGTATAACGCTGATTTTAGTTGTTTGACTTCTGAATTAGTACTGCATTCTAGCAAATAAGAGGGGGCGCAAAATCTTAATTTGTCCCCGGAGATGTGGAAAACCCTAGGCTCTGGTAAATACAATTCTTACATTAATTCAACAACAGGAAGCCAGATGACCTGTTTGAGTGCTACTAGTTTTAGCTTACTAACTGTGTGTTAAATATTAAAATAGATATGATACTATGAAAAATCCCTAAAATAGATAGCTTAATTTGTAATCAGCCGAAATAATGAGTACTCAGATTTCAGCTCTTATCCACTGTTTTTTAAAATCAGATTCTGGAACTTTTCTTAAAAATCTTAATATAAATTTTAATGACATCCTGACATATCGCGAGGGTCTTTATCAATCAACCATTAAATATCTTCTTGTATACACTCAGCTTTTGGCTATTGCACAGAAAGTAGCTCAACAAAAGCTGTAATTATTATTCTTTTTAAGCCGATGGATTGTTACTCTCTTCATGTTTTGGTGAACATAACATGTCCTCTAATTCATTAACAACTTTTGAGGAAACGGCCTCGGAAGACCAGATTATTTTCTTAATATTCGGCTTTACCTATTTGGGAGTGCCTAACTATGGCGTAAAGGGTAGTAATTTTAAGATATTTAAAGCTCATTTCTGCAAAAATTCTACGTAAATGCTTTCTTTTCAATAGCATTTCTCACAAACTATGGATTTTTATCGAAAACTATGTTTAATAGCACTCCAAATTTTAGGAAATGTGTTCCTTTTCAATACAGCTTTTGATACTGTTTTGGCAGACATTTATGTAAAGAATGAATTTGACACATTTCAAACAATGAAAAATATTCAAAGCACATATATGATTTATTAATACACTTCCAGGGTAAAAATTTAATAAATCTGCTCATACAAATAAAATCGGAAATGCGGACTTAATAATATTCAACCGGCTAGAAATAGTCGACCGGCTAGAAATCGGCACACTTGGAGAATTCGCATGAGTATTATTGCATATATTCATATGTAAAACTAAATTGAAAACTAAACAACTTCCCTCCTTACACAGTTTTCATAATAAAATAACTCTGAAATTTTATTGAACGCTTATTGTCCACCAGAACTTCTTTAGTTCACTAATCGGTTGCATTAATATGGATTTCTAAAGACTTGAGTGAGTTCCTAAACTTTTTTAATAGAATAACAAAAGTAATACTTATTTTGAAGCGTTCTAGCTGTGTAGAAGTTTAAATCAATAACCTTCAGACATAAATGAACTGACAAGCAAGTTATTCTCACCAGTCAGTCTTGAAAAAGTTGAAATGATTGGTACTTACGTATTATGGTATGTGTTTACACCTCTTTAAAACGATTTCAGTCAAGAATTTAAAAAAAAAAAAAAAAAAAACGCACATATTTGGAATAAAAATTTCTAGCCACAGCTTATTATTTGAAACGTAAAATATCGTCTACTACTTTGAAGTTTATTCTTCTTTTGATGTCGTATATAAATAATCTATGCATTGAAGATTTTGCATCTTCCGAATAGAAATATTAGATTATTCCACCCAATTTGACTTTTATTATCCACTTCTCTGAACGTTCTAGTATTTTTTCGATTTTTATTTGGTCTTCGAGTATAAAATGGGCAATATTTTATAAATATCTGTATTAAGCTTTAAATAATTTTTCATTTCAAGTGTAATTTCTGTTATGAAAAAGATTGTAAGTTATGAAACACTTGGTGATTTTTCTAAAAATGACGTAACATAGTCAATGTTCTATTGTATTTTGTGCGTATGACACTATAATTTTTTACCATATATATGCTCATTAGAACTGAAACAAAATTTCTTTTTAATTTTTTGCAATTCGCTGTTAAAAAAATATGCAAATCGCAGTACGGATTTGAAAACAAAACTTGAAGAATATCAAAACAAAATATTGAAAATTTAGCATAAAAATCATAGAACTTAAATTCCAGATATGTATAGCCGATCCATGCGAATATAATTCCAGACTTTATCAATCAGTTGATACTTTGTAATGAAATTAAGAAATTTGTTTTAAATGAAACTGTTTTGAATACAGGCTCTGAGACTCAAAAATGTAATCATCATGCTTATTTAATTTCTTTTTCGCAGAATGCTGGGATAGTGGTGCTGACTGATTTAAAACTCGAAACTCGAAAATGCACATTACGAGATCCTTTTCCTCATGGAATTTCAAGACATCCTTATATCACGGCCAAGTCAAGAAGTTTTGATCAGCTTCACCATGAAGGTATTTGAGCTCACTTTAGTACGTTTTTCCTTGAAATTTAAATTTAAAAACGCTGCTAGGGGTATAAATCATCTGCTTAATATTTTATTTCAACTGCAAAAACAGAATATTGTTCGACAAATGCCAGCTAATAAATGTTGGGTCCTTATGCTATTTATGATAAAGCTTGAACGTTCGTTTGTGACTGTATAATATTTTCGATGAAAGGAGCCGTTTTATGTTCTCGAGCAGCTGTAGAGAAACAAGGATATGAAAGTATTTGAATACCATCATTGAAATGTTATTCGCTAATATGTTTTGTTGTATGTGCCCGCAGTCTATGTTCAATAATTAATGAACACGTGGGGAATCTTACACGTGAATACTGATGAAGATTTTACAGTGGCTACAGGCCTGATATTGTGCTAATTGTCAATTGCAGTTTTATTCCTAAATTTTATTCCAACTAAATGTTATACATAATAAGAAAGCATACTATTTGCGTTCATTTGATTTGCGGTTCCCTGTTGCAGATGCTTCTAGTGTCGAATTCCGTCGAGAGGGGTGAAACCAAATTCTAGATAAAGTTCGAATCATTCATAATCAAAAATTAGATGCACAGCCTGAAGGGTTTTACATAATTTTAATGAAACTTAATGTTTACATATATACAATGTACGCTAAAATGCCTAAATCGAATATTAACGATTAAAAAGCAAGAACTGAATAGTTCCATGAAAGAATCTAAATCAAATTATACTGCGTAGTGCGTCCAATTCTACTTTCAAGAAGAATATATTTTCAAAACAGGGGTATCACTCTTTTCCGACTTACGCGTCAGTAAAAGTTTTCATAACCGTAGAGTAAGCATCCAGCTTTCTCTACATGCATCTGAATCCACATCTAAATGCATCTGCGTAGCTCTTTAAAAAAAAGAGAGCCTCGTTTTAATAGAATTATTATGAACAAACAACAACCTACCCATTAAATTTAATTTGCTTTTTATGTTATATAGTAATATATATTGTAAATAAACACGGTATTTGTTTATTCAATAAATGTTTTTCTTAAATAAAAAAAATGTATAAACGTATTTTAAAAAGGAAGGCAAGAACTTATTTTTAGATTCAAGAGGGTGCTGATCACTAAAAAGGTTAAGAACCGTTGCCCTAGTTCAACTCCACAGACCGGAAATGAAAATTAGATAGCAAAAGCAAATAGAAATATGTAGAAAAAATTTCTGTATTAAAAATATTAAAAAATATTGAAATAGATTTGAAATGTGCAGATAAACAAAAATTTAAATAGAAGAAATATCTTGTTAATAAAGCAATTTTCCGTTGTACAACTCAGAAATAAAACAGCAATGTTCTAGTAATGAGAAAACTGTACAAATCCATAAAAAAAACTCTTAATTCAATTCAAAACATAACATTTTTAAACAATCATAGAAATAAATTTTTTAACGAAATTTAAATTCAATGCAACATTCAAAATAAAGAAATAAGAACAAAACTACAAATAATTACCCTTAACTTTTATAAACCTTCCAGTGAAATTAGACTTTATCGAATAAAAGAATTATTATTTCAAATTATATAGGAAAACCAGTAATTAAACAGAAACAAAACTTTCTAATTAGAAAAGTAGGGACTGAAAAATCTTTTATACCTTAAAAGTAGCACAGCCATGAAATGTCACACTTCTCTTTTAACAGAGAGCAATGAAAAAATCAATCCCAAGTTTTAGAAAGCTATTTACTAAAGCTAAAAAAATTATTTAAAGCTAAAAAATGCTAAAAAACCTGAGCGGTTTAAAAAATTTAAAAAGCTAAGAAACCTGAAAGGGTTTCGATTTTAAAGGGCGCTTTTAAATTTTAATATGTTTTATCAGCAAATATAAGTTTATCAATAGAGATGAGCCAAGCTGAATAGCAAGGATATTAAATGAATATGCATTTAGAACATGAGAAGATTCTATATCTTCTGTGTATTTAAAATATGTAATTTAATTCTATAAAAATATTGAATGCTTTTAATTAGGTTTATCGTGAATTAAATGCACTTTTTTTAAATCAATCCAATAAAATAAACTACAAAATAATATATTTAAGATATGCATCTATTGCTTTTAAATAGTTTAGGTTGTTAATTAAACATACAGATTAAATGTGAAAGATTAATGTCTTACGTTTCTCTTAATGGTGAGAAAGTGAAACAAGGCATTAAAATGAAAGAACGCAATAGCACGTTTGGAAACCAACAGTTTTTTTTGGCTAGCAATAAAATAGCGTAAAATTGTTGTATGCCCCATGTAAAAATTTTTATATCAACAGAACTCTGTTAGTTACAGAGTTATAGAAATAATAAAACACTTATTTTCAGTGGGGAAAAAATCAGAAAATAGGAGCTCAGGGTGGCTACGAATTCCCAATCTGCTGGTTCAAACTCTTCGGTACATGCGCCAAGCGATAGAACTGACTAGACCTACTCCGGAAGCTAAGAAACCTTTAGAATTAGAAAAAAAGAAATGTAATTAAATGCAAAAGACGGCTAAATAAGCTTTTCTTGTTTGGTAGGCTTCTCAGAACACAAAAGTATCGTAATCCCATAAACAGAAAAAAAAATATTTTAGCAGATTTAATTAATACTAACAAATTAGCTAAAACATACGTCGCTCTATAGCTTACAAAAACGAAGCATTTGTATCAATGTGTGAAAGTATTCAGTTTGTAAAGAAATCAAACGGAAATTATGATCCGAGATAAATATCACATCGTAAATTAAATTTGTTAAAATAATAACAAATCCAAATGAAATTTCAAACAATTCGCAATAAATGTTATTCAGAAAGCTAAACGCTGATTCATTATTCGCCACCGCTATTGTAACGCTATAGAGTGATGCATTTTTTAATTTGTTAGTGTTTACTAAATCTGCAAGCATATGTTTTCCTTTTTAAGAGCATTACTATACTCTTATCTTCTTATTCTTATGCATACTCTATCTTCTTCCAAGAAATCTAGCAAACAAAAAAAATTAATTTATCATCAGTTTGCATTTAATTATATCTCTGATTTTCTATTGTTAATGAATTTTCAACTTTTGGGCTAGGTATAGCTACCTCGATGGCTTGGCACGTTTAACAAAATGTTTAAATTTTCCATAAACGAGCAGATTGGGGTTCGAATCTAGATCAGATATAATCTGAATTTTTCTACTGAAAATAAATGAATTTTATTGCTTCTGTAATTAACAAAATTCTAGTAATATTAAAATTATTGAAATTTTTGCTTGTGAGATATATAATAATTTTACGTTATTTTATTACATCTTGTTGTTTTAGTTATTATTATATACAAAATTTTATATCAATTAGTTATTTATTAATAATATTATATTAATTATGTAATATAATTAATAGACTTTTATACATTTATAAAGTGATAAAATTTGCTTTTCCTCTTTTCGTGTAGTAATTGATATAATAATGATGCTTTATTAAAAATTTAACTATCGGCAACGTGTATTACAGTTTATGCTATGTATGAAGTAATCAATTTATTTGCTTCTTTTATACAAAGAGAATATATATATATGTATAAACGAAGATACCTAATCCAATTGCGCGCTGATACTTTTGTATCATACTGGTCCACAGCAAGACATTTCTTCTCCTGCTCTTTCCTTTTAATGAGTCCCAACGGGCCTGGCGGAGGCGAAAATCATCAACGAAGTTTTGTCCAGAGCAGGCAGAAATAGATAGAGCGCGCGCTGACACCAGCAACAATGTTTAGGCCCAAATCGCACATGCATTTGTTTCACACTAACAACTATTTCGGAAAATTTTTCTGCCTGGTTTACCTGCCTGGAAAGAAAGACGGGCAATTTATTTCCCTTCCTTTCGAAAAAAATTGGAAGTTGTTCGTTTTCAACGAATCAGCTATCAGCTTGTTTGTAATGGAGAATCAGTTTCCCCTGTGTTAACCCCTAAGTTATTTGAAGTACCTACTACCTTACTGATCCAACATTTTTTCACATTGCTGGTCTATTTTCATTAATTTCATCTTTCTTCGCCGACTGATGGCGGCTAAGTGAAATATCCCATTCTACCATCTTTATTCTTCATTTTTTCCTCTTGTTGTTCCATACATTCCTTTATCTGATTCAGAGTGACAGCACGCAGCGCGCTGTCACTCTCTTTCCATTCGACACAAGTCAAGTCAACCCCTGTGATCTGTTGTAATTGGCTGTTGTGACAAAGCAGAAGAATTATTCCAAACAGTTGTTCTTCCGAAATAAACGGATGTGTGATAGCAGACTTCCCACAACACGTTTTATAATGATGTCTATCTGCGTCTCTGTACACTTTATTTTCGTTCACGACAATTCTTCCATCAAACTTCTGAAAATTTCAGTTTTCTATATTTAAGCTTCCTGCATTTGTATAAAGAATTGATTAAATTTAGGGTAAAATTGGTTACATAAATAAATTACATAAAATTAATTATGTGATGCCTACTGTTTCCTTCAATTTCAGCTTTTAGTGAAAACGTTGTAATATATATATATATTATATATATATATATATATATATAGTATTTAAGATTTTTATTTCAGTGATAAATGCATATTGAACGTTCGTGAAAATTGATTAACCGGAAACCGGAAAAGATACTTGAAACTCTGAACAGATCTTCGTGAAAAAATTAATTATGATACAGTCCGAATTTTCTGAAATTTTGTATTTGAAACTGGTATATGCATATATGATACATATATAATGTGAGAACTTCATATTGGATACAGAGTAGTTGTTCATCAGTTAAAAAGTGTAAAATATTATTATCATTGCCATTTAAAAAGATAAACGATTCATCTTTAAGTTCAAACAGTCTCTTTAGGACCCTATCCCTCGAAAGGCAGTGCACCCTCTGTATATGAAGGAAACTGCTCATGTTCACTAATCATTTCTTCTCACATCTGCCAAAAAATTCCTTGAGTTCAGAGGGCGAGTCTTTACAATTTTACAAGACTGACTAACTTCGATGGCATGTTTTTCGATACGAGTGCTTCTCTATTTATCATACAGTGAACCCATGTTATACTGGAAGAGATTTCATCCGAGGCATTTCCGGACCAACGATTTTAAAAGACAGAGTTTATCTCTCTAAAGTCATTGTTCTAAAAATAGAGAACTCTAGAATTAAATAAAATTTCACATTTTAAAAACCAAAATGCCTTTCTCAAAACTGTATGTCAATGATGTATTTTTATTCAATTAAATGTTTTACTATTTTTTCATCCACCTTGTAACCTCTAATTTTTCTAGACCCCATTTGGGGTCGCGACCCATTGAATATCCCTATTAACTAGAAAGCAAGATAGCTGCTAAGCCAGCGGCGGTAAAAAAATAATACACTTGCTAATAAACAAATGCCAAATAAAATATATCTATGAATAAGAGAATTACTAAATTATTATTCATGTGACTGATATTAATCTTCTGATCTTGTTACAGAAATAGCCGTTTTTCGTAGTCACTTCTAAAAATATTTTCTAGCACATTTTATACCTCAGAGGCTGAGCATACCGACTACGAAAGTTCCTGATGAATTAGATATCCAGGAAATTCCTGAATCAACTCCCAAATCAACGGAAGAAATTCGAAGTTATTTTCCAGAAACCTGGCTATGGGAGATACAGAAAATTGAGTAACTTTCCTTTCTTTCTTTGAAATATACATAATGTTCATATTTTGTGACATATTTTACAATGATTTTATAATTTCTGTTCTTAATGCTACAATAAATTTTGGCTACTTTTATATTTACATAAATATTTATAATCTCTAATTAAACAAAATTTATGCTTATTCTGTGTCATTAAAGGTAGTTTTCGAAGAGTTAGAATCTCGAATCCTTTGGATCTCGAACTTTCAAAAATTTATTTGCAAAAAGAATATTTCTTATTATTCAGGTATCTTTATAAATAGCTCGAATGTACTAAGACATAAACTTCATAAAAGCCATCAAATTATTTTATTGTTTGATTGCAGAAGTTGATTATATTTCATTGCAGAAGTTAAGAATGTATTGTATAATCATTTGGACACAACGTAAAAATTAAGTCTCCTGTAGTAAAACGCACTCCTGTGACAAAACGCACAACAGCTTTCTGCCTAAGGAAAGGGATGCCTTCGTGCAGCAATTTCTAAGAAAATATGGCTCGTACCATGTTACACACGGGAAAATGCATTCATATTACACGCGAGAAAACCATGAAAACCTCCGCCGATTCGCCTAGAATCCAACATATGAGTCCCGGAAAAATCACGGATGTTTGTTAAGTGTAGAGTGCCGCATGGGAACATTTACGAGTCGAAAGGCCTGTCAAGTAGTTTGGTGATAAAGGATGAGAGCTGGGTGTCTCTCAAATACCTCTCGCTCTATAGCGGATATACAAGAACTTTTTACCTGCTGCTGAAAGTAATCTCAGAGCTAAAAGTCACAATGAATCACAGACTATTCCTAAAATACCGTGTTTACTCGCGTAATACTCGCCCTCGCGTAATAGTCGCACCCCCATTTTGAAGCGGAAAAATCGCCAACAGTGTACAGCATTGTGTATTAGATTTCCCCGCGTAATAGTCGCACCAAGACTTTCACAATGAAAAATTGGCACAAAATGTGCATCTATTACGCGAGTAAAATACTGTATCTGTGCAGATTTTAAAAGACTGATGTGGCCAGGCATGACCTCTAACCATTTCCATTTTAAAACATGGAACTAATGGAAACGCAGCGAGCTTTAAGTAAACTGTCACTTCCAGCTGATCGTTTATAAATAAAATCTAATTTTCGTATAAATTTTATGATTCAGAATTAATTATAAACTCTACTCATTTTTTATTAATCTATTCTCCCATATAATGGACAACGATAACTGTACTTGCCTATCTAGCTATCCATTCTCATGCTTTGATTGATTTGGAAATATCGTTTCCGGATTGTGATAGAAAGCGAGTTTCTGCCTCTCGAGGCCACGTTACTAGGTTTCTGTCAGCTCTGATAAGATTTGTACTTATTTGGTTTTGTATTATTGCTGCCGAGATTTAAATTATTACGCCGGTTAGTTTTGCGAGCCTACTTAAATTCCACTGTGTAGTATTTGACAACTAGCTTACTTAAAAATTAATTTAAATTTGACTGTCACTTTAAGTTATCTGACCACGAGTGGCCAGCTGACTTTGTCAAGTACAAGGCGTGTTCTTCTGCTACTTTCTAATTTTAATAAAAAGGCTGTTGTAGCATTTCAAGACTCTGTTGTTTTTCCCAGACACAGCTATAATTCGCTTAATGTTTGTTAGGTGTTTGCAGTGGTTTGTTTTAGCAAATAAAAATAGACTCTATAAGCTCGTCTTTATAATGAATTTATTATTGTTGCATTTAGCGTAATTCCAACAGCATATTTAATGTTTATAAATGTAATATGTTGTTCTCAGTCACATATCTATTGTAAATAACATATTTGAAAAATTTTAGATTATCTCATAATATATATTTTTTACGAAAGTCTATTCAGCTTTTCAAATGAAGTATCACTTACAGTTTATCAACTTTAATCAAAATCGAGTATGTTATTCCGATTGATCTGAAAGTCTTACATACTTAAATTGAAACGTTTTGGATTATATTGTATTATAGGTTTTCACTAAAGAATACCATTGGCTTCAAGTAAAGTACACTTCCGGTTGCCTATTAGAGACTGTTATGGATTTCGTTGTCCAGTTTTACCGAAATCTAGTCCTACCGAAATCTAGTCCAGTTTTCGTTGTCCAGTTTTAACGGTTTTCCAGTTTTACCGAAAATCTAATCAACTCTTTATATAACTGTAGAAAGCTTTAATACTGAAAACAGAAATTGTAGAAATTTCATATAAAAGTTATCGTGGGTGAAAAAACCGTCACACATATAGAGACACACAGACAGATATTATTGTAAAAGTCTGACCCTATTTCTTTCTTATTCATTGAAAACGCTCTTCAAAATTTTGGACCAAAAATATTACTTATGTAAATAGGTTGGCGGAAAGTTAAAAACATGACAGTGACGTTTGTGAGAGTGGAGAGATAGGGTTTGAATTTCAACTTCTCGACAATGAAAGGTGAAACCTGAACAGGCTAGAGGATGTCAACTATCCAGTATGGACTACCAACACCTTATATAGTAGATTCCCGCAATTCGACATTCCGTATAACTCAACGATGGCATTTTTTAAATGACTAAATCATTTCTGCTGTTTAAACAGAATTGTTTTCGAAATAATATGGTAGTTTATTAAAAGCTAGGCTCTAATAATTTTTAGCATCGCCTTTACAGTGCAAACAGTATGTTTTAATTACTGTTTTATTGTAATTACCGTATTTTTATAGCACTGTATTACATTATGAATACAAATATGCGTATGATTGTCTGTAAATTTTAACATACAACTCTTGCGCATAGAAATAAACATTTGCCGTATTTCATTTTTATTATATCGTCCGTCGCATTAGTTAAATGAAGTGTGCACATATAATATATAACATTATAAAGTATGCATTGTAAAGAAAACTTTCGAAAATTAAATGGTCAGACTGCAAACTTATTATATGAGATAAGCTAAGCAATTAACTTATAAAAGATCCTGTAAATAAAGCGCAAAGTTTAAGATAGTGCGATGCTGAATAATTTTGGCAGGATGACGTGAAAGCTAGCAGCTGCACCCAGAATATAAATGCTTGTTGAGAAGAAAATCTGCATATCTCTAAATTCTAGTGTACACAACAGGTAATGTTTAATACAAAATACGCAGCCCAACAGACGAAGCTACAGACGGAAAGAATGATAACAACCATTCATGATGGTACAACAAACCCGCAGTATAGCGATCTGTGCCAAGATTGTTGCCCAAAACGTTGCATATAGCTAGCGTAAGGGAACAGACTTTCAGACCTGTCAATCGAACGCCAGCTTTTGGTTTCATAACACCTTATTATTATCACGTGGAATATGCTGACAACATTTATGCATGAGTGAACGAAAATACGAAGGCAGCACATAGCCTGTTCCATTTTCCAAGCGTTTCTCCAACCTGACGTGAAACGTGGGGCCTTTGGAATCACGAAACCTGATCGTAGACGATACCGTGATATGCGAACGTCACTGTTAGGATAATGAACAGATTATGCAACCTTAAAAGATCCTGGCTCAAGCATCAGAAGAATAGCAGCCGATATTTATTCCACCTGCGTCTCGTCGTGACCCACTTCCAGGCAAGAAGAACTCCTTCGCTTCACGTGCAGTGTGTGTAGGAATCCGCATCAGATGATATTGGTTTTATCAGCTATCGAATTGCCTAAAATCAGCAGAAGTAGCAAATTTTTAGTCGCTTAAAAATGCACAATTCTAGCAAGTTGGTCATCAGAAAGCCAAAATTTTTATGTTCATCCCTTTGCTGCGCTAGGCGAACTCATATAATGAATTGACCGTATTACTGTATGTTTTCGTAAAGTTTCTCGTTTCTTTAATGGCCTAGTGGCAACACCCGACTCCTCTTGTATTACTCCTAGAAGATCGCAGTTCAAACATTTATTGTAATGGCCATGTATCTATATTCCTGTGATTTATTTCATCTAACTCTGTTTTGAATTAAAGATTGTGATTTTTGCCAGTTATCAATATTTCTCATTCCATAACTTGCGAGCTATGCGTTTTCAGCTACATTTTTATAGAGTATTTTTCTGTTTACATTAGGTTTAGAATTAGAACATCTTCCAGGACTTCGGTGAATCAAATATGAGGCACCCTGTATAATTTTAAGCATTTTCATTCATTTCCTGCATCGATTTAAGTTCAGAGGAAAGTAATTTAAATTGCAGTTACTATTGCTACGAAAAACGCTTTTGCTCAATGTATGTATATGTCATAAGCTGTCTTACCTTAGATACATAGGTAAGATAATTTGGGATTTGAAATAGACAAGTAGCATGTCAATTATTATGAATGCTTTTTACTAAAGAAGTAATATTATTATTATTTTTTTTTTTTTTGTAAATTTCATTACTTAATGAGTTGAATTAAATAAGTGTGAATTTCTTCATAGCTCCTCTGGTGAGACGGCCATGAAACGACAGTTGCCCCATACGATAACCGAATGGATAGGAGAAGCAGTGTGCATCAACTCCAAGAATGGATTAGGGTTTTCGGAAAAGAGCAGTATTACTGCTTTTCAGCCATTTTTTGTTTCCCTGCAGCTACCTTATTCTGTAATAAGAGATGAAACGGTGCCTATAATCGTTTCTGTTTTCAACTACTTGACAGAATGTTTGCCGGTATGGATATATTTTACAAAAAGTAATAAATATAGCTTTTGTAGTAATGCATGAGAATGGACAGTAATTGCCTAAAGGGAAAGAAAATTCGATAAAATTAAAATGACTACTGTAAATTTTTAGAATATTACTGTAATAAGTTTTTATGAAAATAAGCGTGAACATTTAAAAAGTGATAAAAAGTTAATCAATTAATTAAGAAGGATAATTGCTACGATCGTTTAAACATTCCTTCCTCCTGTATATTTAATTTTAGAAAATCACTAATACTTACTCGGAAAAGCCTTGTATAAATTTATTATAAATACATTTTAAAATTTAGTTTAATTATAAATAACTAAAGAGGAATAAATTATAAATTAAAAACATTTATTATGAAAACTCATTATGGAGAATCCTATTTTAAATCAGAATCTTAAGAATGAAAATTTTTCAGTTCATGACAAGGGTACAGTTTTTAGCAACGCAATAGCTCTGAGAAATAAATAAAAGAAATAAATTATGAGTTATCAAGAATCCTTGTCTTAGCACCTTATCTCATTTGCACATGAATATTTCGAAAATGAATGAATTCTTTCATGAGGCTAATTTTTCAAGAATATTTTTAAAGGAAGAAAAATATTATGTTTTCCATAATTCTTTTTTGTATTTCAAAATGTTATTCTCGTCAAATCTCTGAAGCTTTAACTGTGTAGTTTCGCCCATGTCGTTGAAGGTCTAAGTTTATTTAAAAGTTAAAAATTTCCCAATGTAATTGAAAATAGTGATGATTGTAAGAATGAAAACAGAAAGTTAAGTACATTCGTCAGTTTTGATCTTCTAACTTAACCACACAACAATACTAAATCGAAAGAAGCCACAATTAATGTTTATATACTAAGATTTATAATCATAAACATAAAATGAACATAAATTGTAACTTTATATTAATCAAAACTAAATAAAGAAAATTTAAATGTAAAAGTTTCCGAATTTTCAGTGTTACGAATATCTTCGGAAATATGCTCATTAATTCCTCAATATATGTAGCGTATCCTTTGGAAGTTTAGATGGTTTGTTTAATTGATTATAACAGAGCGGGTGAGATCATTTATCAAACATTGTAGCACCAAAAACAGCTAAAATAACTGTGTAACTCGACTAATTCAAACTCTATGAATTTTATTATTTCTAAACAGAATATCCCAAATAAGTACATACTTTAATGCTTCGTGATCGTCAAGTGATCATCCAAATGTTGCAATGGTTTTCAGTAATTTACTGCAAGTCTTAAGAAAGTACGATTTGGCCGAAGAGAATAAAGGGTTCTAAGATTTGGCCGAAGAGAATAAAGGGTAAAATACATCAAAACGTCAGTGCAGACAAAAAATGAGAGACCCGACATGAAGTTCAGGAAGGTTTATTTGATGCGCGTTAAGACCTGGCTCTTCCTTTTCATTAATAATATCATTCGCAATAATGCTATACTAATTTTGTCTCTAAATACATTGATTTCGTGAAACTCTTCTATCTAACTAACTGCGGTAATAAAGACTGAGCAGAAGCTGGTCAAAGGCTAAATAAAGATAGTATCTTCTGCGTAATTTTTCCAGATTAGTTTGAGAGATATATAATAATATTTAACCCTTTCGTTTCTATCTTCTTCGATTGGTTACACTACAGTTGTTGCTTTTGTTTTTCTTATTTATTTATCCTATTGCATATATTAATGACATATTGTGTTAGAAGCTGAATAATTTTATTACTTGAAGTAGTGGCACTTCAGTCATTCTCTCTCAAAATACACAGAAATGCTAATGGAAAAGTTTTGCCTCTTTCTCTTTCCCGATACTAGATAAGGCAATATTTTACTTGTTTTTATAAAGGTTATGTATAGCTAGATAGATAGATATAGATATAGATAGAGATAGAGATAGAGATATTGGCGTCTTTGAAACAACAGTTAGACAAATCGGTGTTCAGTATTTGTTCACGAAGAATAGAAGAATCTGGTAGATTTCGCGGTGGTGGATTAGGGAAATATTTCATATTCCGAAAGATGTGGTTGAATTTTGTGTTAATGGTATCCACAAAGAAACACTTGAAATGTTTCCGTATGCATTCGCTATGAAACATATAGAGATGCTTCACTATTTTAATGACGACGGAAGTTCAAGGTCGTAATCATGAGCCTTATAAGAAATAGACTAACCCAAACGGGTTTTCTCCCTCGTCTGAGGCGTTGCCGGCTGTCACCTTGATCACATCCGGAGGAGTAGGGACGACCTTGCAGAAATTTAACATTGGTTGACCTATTGCAGCGTGTTTAATTGTCGAAAAAAAATGTGGTTGTAGCGCCTCATTTCACAAAATTAGAATTTCTACATATTTTTATTTTTGAAACTGAGATTGATTTTTTAAAAAAATTTAGCATATTTGGCAAGCATAATTAACGTTCCAAATAATTATGAAGCTACTTGCACGCTTTCAGGGCTGGATATTTTTTTAGCTTTTCCTATGCCGTAAGGAAAGTTTTTAACTACTTCTTTTAGAAAATAATATTTTAAATCTGAACTAATAGAAAATTTCAAACAAGCAATTTTCTCTTGCAATTTTTATGCTTTTATTGGTGTAAATAAGTAAAAAATACTAAAATATTTAAAAAACGAATTTTTGAAAGTTTTGTTTAAAATTCTAAATTGTGTTTCTTTTTTATAATTATAGATGAGTATTACAGCACAATTTCTATAAAGGAATTTTATTTCAATTATATTTCACAATACATCATAGTGATAAACACCTTTGACTCCTTAAAAATTTTATACATTTAATTCTAATATTAAAATTGTATTTAACCGTAATAATTAATTTTACTTTATTTTATAGTGATTATTTTTTTAAATTTATTTTAGTTCTGCATAAGATTTTTTTTATTTACTTTTAATTTAATTTATTAGCCCAAAGCGGCGGTAGCCTAGAAAGGCTGTTAGTTTTCGAAGCGGCATTTTGCGCTCTTTTACTATAAATGTCCGTGTCTCCTTGCAAATTGATGTTACCAAAATTATCGCCCTGTATTATATGTAAAGAAATTAATAATGAAGAATCTACATGAATACATGTATGTTTCTCGCACTAGGACAAAAACGACAGTATCTAGAGCCATCAAATTTTGAATAATTTAATCCTCCACCCAAACATGGGCATCTGGACGGCCGAATTTCGAATTTGTTTCAATCTATTTCATATTTTGTAAAACTAACGAATTCTTGATTAACAAACTCAACGAGTTCAGTGCGAGCACTGTACGGAAAATAATAGTTTTATCTCCAGTGCGGAAATTCTGAAGATATGCTGTTTTCAAATGTATGTGGTTTACGGGCGAAGAACATGATATTCAAATAAATATAGGTAACACACAAAACTTAAAAAAAAAAGATTCCTTCTGGGAGTAATATAAAATCTGAGGGCTTCTAGATTTTATTTTATCTTTTTTTTCCCCCTTCATTACGCTCAGAAAATTTTATGCTCCAAATTTTATGAATTATTAAAATAACTAATCCACTTTAATGTTAATAATTTCATGATCATATAATCAAATAAATATGATCGTTTTGAATGTTATTATAGTTTGGTGGAAAATCACTGCCTGAAAATGTTCATTAAATTTAAAAAAAAAAAAAAAAAACATTGTCAGATCATATTTAATTTTACCTTATTTATTTCAAAGTATCATGTACTATCATCTTATTTAATTTATTTAATTTTACTTTATTTTTACGCAAAATTAAGTTCATAATTTTGTGCTTCGAGTTTTTACCAAAGTAAGATGTTTGTACAAGAATTACGTGCGAAAAAAAAAAAAAAAATGCGCGAAATGCAGTAAAAATTGCTTTAATGAGATATATTAAATCCTATTTGGAAAAAAAAACTGTGGCTTTCATAATCTCATCACTATACAACGTATCACATTTAATATTAAAAGAGTTATGTGATACAAACGCCATAGGTTTCAATGTTAAAAGTAAACCAGATTGTCCCTACTCTTTCTTGCCGGCATGTCGGTGACGCACGCCCCTCCCACTGGGTTAGTCTATCTCTTATAAGGTCCATGGTCGTAATACCATGAACCTTATAAGAGATATAGATATAGATATAGATAGAGATAGAGATAGAGATATTGGCGTCTTTGAAACAACAGTTAGACAAATCGGTGTTCAGTATTTGTTCACGAAGAGCAGAAGAATCTGGTAGATTTCGCGGTGGTGAATGAGGGAAATATTTCATATTCCGAAAGATGTGGTTGAATTTTGTGTTAATGGTATCCACAAAGAAACACTTCAAATGTTTCCGTATACATTCGTTATGAAACATATAGAGATGCTTCACTATTTTAATGACGACGGAAGTTCAAGGTCGTAGTCATGATGAACAGAGCTCGTTTTATGAACACTGCGATTTCGAATGAAAGCATTGAAGCGCATAGGCAGATTGTGATGGGTGACTAGTATTATGTAAACCTCTTCAAAATCATTTACGTTAAACGACGAAGAAGAAAAGACCTCATGTGCTCAAAAAATAACGAATTTTGTTCCGGAATAATGCCCAGGTGTATATTACTACTGTATCATGACAGCAATGAGCAATGTCTGGAATCTTTATATCAGCACTAGAGTGTCCTGTATTTATGTTGAAATTAGTTACTATAGTTGTGATTTCTGAGCGTTCTCAATATTCAAAAGGCAATTACGCGGGAAAAAATTCATTTCAAATAAAAAACTGAAAAGCGCTGTCCTACAGTTTTAAAAAGAACGTCACAAAACAGACTAGTTCATGTTTTTGAATCGTTTATAAATCGCTGTGAAAAGTGCAGTTCTGTCTGAAAGATTCAAATTTTAATGAATGCAGATATATCTTTCGGAATAGAGAGGATCAATCGCTAACCATTTCAATCAGCTTACTTATATATTTTTCATGAAACCAATATTAGTATAAGGTTGAGTTTTGATTAATTTTAAACTTAACTTAAATGTTGGTGAGTTGTTCATCAAATTAGCAAACTACATACGTTTGTCAGAGCTGAACTGCTCATGTCATTCGTGGAGAACTGGACTACACAAAGTCGTTATCGAATAGCTTCACTGGAAAGGATAGAAATTTTAATTCCTTTTTAGATGAAATAGCCTTTTAGACAGAAATTTTAACTGAACTTCAGACAAAATAATCTTGCAGTGCCAGATACATGCGTTGTCAAATTACGTGAATTTGCCTTTCATAACGCTTTTGAAAAGTGTATGCCAGGTTCTGCATTTCTAATTGTTCAAAATAAACTTAATAAAAGGATTGTAAATGTAAAATTTTGAAAGAAAACTGATATTCAATATAAGGATTTCTTGTCATTTCACTAGGATAAAAATAGCAATAGTGTAGTTTCTATAAATACGCAAAATCTGCACTCCATCCGAAGAGACCTTTTGTTAGTTACTATGGTGAAGGTTTATGTGTAGATGTGATATGCACTGGCTCTAAAAGTTTTGCATCGGACAATTAAACCAACGAAAATGAAAAAGTAAAGTTTCGATTAACACTATATTGCACATGAAGGTTGCAAATATGTTTATGCATAATAGAAAGAAATTATTATACACATAACAGGAAACAAAGATTATCTAAAATATTTAACTTCCATTTCCTTAACGTAAATGTTATCACATTTTAGCCATCAATAAATTGATATTTAAAGCATAAAATAAACAAACAAAACTTACATTAAAAGGTATATGACCATCCCAAATTTTGAAGGAAACTTTACAGCGATTTCACATACTTTCTATAAAATAATAAAATATTGCAACTGCTAGCAATGACGATTCCTGCATTAGGACAGGTTTCAGCTGTATAATCAGCTAGTTTCAGCTGGAAAAGATAAACGTAAAGACAGCACGCCCAAGGGCACCTCAAAGATTTAAAGTCGAGAGAATACGTCGGACTATTCATCCAAGAAACACCCTTACTCACCACGTAATCTTTTACGATGTTGGCTTGATGGGAACGGGGATTATCATTTACAAAGAAAAACTCAAAACCTACTGTTGCAGCGTAGTCTCATAAGAGAGGAGACTGTTTCTCATAGGACTTCATCCCAACATTGTGCAGCCGTTACAGAACCATCTTTAAAGATGTGCAGCTGAGTGCGATATTTCATAGATATTCTAGCCCACACCTCTAATGTGTGATGTTCTGGGCCTGATTCCGCATGTCTCTTTCTGTTCTGACTCTTACATGCTTATCATCTGATTCCAGAGTAAATCTGGACTCACCTGTGAATAGGACGTTACGCCAGTCTAAGATATTCCAATTTAGATGTTGACGGTACCACTTTAATCTCTACCCTCTGGACTGGGTGGTCAGTGACAAACACTCGGTACTCGAACATAAAATCCCTTCATGTGAAGCTTTCCGGCGCATAGTATTTGGCAGTTATTGTTTTATCAATTTGCAGCGGTCTTTCGTCGATTCCGTTCCATCTTCAGAATAGGTGGTAATCCTTGGTAGACTGAACATGAATAGGTCTCTGGGTAACTTTTTGACTTGATTGAAATTGAATTGTTTCCACTTTCGAGAAATTACTCAATGATCAGCGCTAAAGAAAAGAGGGACATCTTTGATTGATTGCCGTGCTTCATTGCATCCGACGATTCATTCCCCTTTTTTCAGCTACAAAAATACTAATATAATCAAAAATTAGCCGACGAAATTTCTAAACACTTCATATCAGCATTTAAATGTACCTTCTCAAACCCTTCAGATTGCTGGCATCTTCAGCGACTGTTTAGTAAGCTCGGATAATCAATCTTGATTGACTCTAACGTATGATATTTGCATACTGCCATCTATCTGCAGAGATTTCAACCTTTCAAATTCTACTGCACTTTTTGAAAATTGTTAATTTGCATTGCGTGCTTAACTTTTGGTAGCCAATGTTTAAAATGTATCATTTATACGTTAATGGAGAAATAATTTATGTTGCGTTTTTAGTTTCGAAAATATAGCTCCGAAGATAAGTAACTGAAATAATGTGGGGCACATTAAAATGCTTATAGCATATATCTTTGATTCTAAGACATCATCAATTAAAAGACACATCTTTTAACTTCAGTAATTGAGAACAAAATAAATATCATATAAAAAATAAAGTAAGTAAAAATAAATTAGAAGCAAAAATACTTCTAGCAATTATTTCTTAACAACTGACTTTGATGTACAATTTCATTTTCATTTAAATTAGTTTTTTATAGAAAAGTTTTATTTCAGGATAATTTGCAAATTGGAAAAATGTGCGATTCCTAGGATTTGCGACTGTTAACCCTGATTTTAGCCATGCTTATGTGGAGGAAAAAGATGCATTTTAGGCTCCGTTCAGGCGCGGATATAAATGTCATAATGTCATAGAGGTTTAGTCATAAGGTATAAAATGAGGGTCTTACGTTCACACGTGCCATACAGGCTCTAAGCCGTAGCCAGTAGCTAAATGTGCGCATGCGTGGATGCGTCTACAGCTTTCCCGTTCTGTTTTCCGTTCAAAAGGTTTCTCGCGTTCGCTCTGATTTGTCATCTCTTATACCAAGACGTCATAAAGTTGAAACTTCGAAATTTATGTCAAAACCCCTAAACCAGTTTTTAGTTTTTATGACTTAGCAAGATCTGGTTACCTAGCAACGAAGCTCGGCTTAAACCAGTTATGATATTTATACCATCATCTGAATGGAGTCTTAGATTCAAATAAGTACAGTATTGTTTAAGCATTGGGCAATAGACAAGTTAACTTGTTTTACATGATTGACCGAATAAATTGCAAGTGCATTTTCAAACTTTTGTTTATGTATTATTTTTAGATCAAGATATCCTTAGAGCCCAGCGAAGACTTCCATCTTACTTCAGAATCTTCATCTCATAAAATGTGCGTATGCGGAGGCAAAAGTGAAACTCATCACTTCAAGTTGCGTCCTATAAGTTTAGGTCAGGTTAACATAACAGTATATGGGTTTTCAGTTGAAGGTGATGATGAAATTTGTGGGAATGAAGTCACTGCAAGACTTAGTGCCAGAGATGCCATTACAAAACAACTTCTTGTTGAGGTATGTCTTCTTTTCTTAATGCAAACTTTCTGTATACACTGGATAGATTATTTTATTGGTACTTTTCCGTTATGCACCTACCACCGCTTTTTAGCTCCTGTGAAAGAGAAGCCATACACACGGCAAGACCAAATGATAACGCCATCTGGGGACCAAACCATTTGTGTGTGTGTGCTTAATTTAATACATTTAATTTTGCATTTACACTTAAAAACCCCACAAAAATGCTTGGCAGGTACATATAGGAAAAGTGTCATTTTATTTCATGTCAGTCATCACGCAATTTCATATGCAAATTGTATCTTATTTTTAATAGCTCTTTCAATTCTATGTTTTAGTGTAATTTTTATAAAATTTATTAACTGTTTTCATTGTTACATACTCTCGTGATTTAGGTATTTGGCAAGTACTTATAATTAATAAATCAAATAAATAAATGAAAGCGTTTTTCTCAATACAATATATCTAGCCAATAATGGTAAGACTCCTCCTTATTTAATCGTAAATTCATATGTAACGTATGCCTTTTACAGAACAAAGTTCAAATAATAAACAACAACTAAGAATCATACACAACAACATAATCATAGATGACAACTACGGATCATACTAAACATAATATTCGATTCATAATTAATTACTACAGTATTTCGAAACAGAAAATATTCAAACATAAGAAGGTAAAAATCACTAATTATAATGTACTGTTGCATGCGTAAGGGTTCGGAATAATACACACTGAACCAATGATAGCTTGATAAAATTTATTTTACTCAAAAAAACACTTTACAGTTCTGGAACTTTACACAAAAGCACTTGTACAGCGCTTCTCGGTATCGCAGAATACAATCAGTAGTTACACTTCAAACGACTAAGAACGTTAAACACAGCGCAGTGTAAAATGCATCTAAAAAGCCAAAGCTCCTACGAAGATCTCTCAATATTCCGAACTTACACTAAACGAAACAAGTGAGAAACCGATGCTCTCTTCAGGAATATATAGCCAGCCCCCGACTGCCAAGAAATCTTAGTATCTTCCATTTCTCAAAATTACTGGAAGGCATATACGGATAAATTTGCACATAAAGGCCGGATACAGTTGCAGTTACAGATAAGGATAAGTTACAGTTATTCAATTACAATTATATAGGGACTGAAATATTTTCTTTCGCAAATCAATAATATTTCATTTTTTTCCTTTTGTTAGGCAGAAGGATTTCCAAAAGAAGAAGTATTCAACTATTTTATCTGCCCTGAAGGTAAGTCTATTAAATAATCATTGTAAATGTACAAACTAAGGTAATTGTAGAATAAAAGCAATGACGCATCTGCGTAGAACAGACTATCTGAGCTTAACAGTTCTTGATATAACCTCATTTTTTATTAGAAGTTTTTACTGGTTAATCCTTTTAAAATAATGATCCAGTTTTTCCTGTTATTTAAGCCTGGAAAATTTCATTAACAATTTTTCATGTACTTTAATGATTGCAAAAATGTGTTTCTTGGTTTTTCAAATAGCAGATTTATTTATGTAGTTTATTTACATAACTGATAAATATCTATATATTTGGAAATAGTAGATTTATTTATTTACGTAACTCATATATATATATATATATATTCAGTTAAGGTGCTGTCTGAATGCGTAACCTTTAAAGGTGTTTACGTAACCGTTTAAGGTGTATATATATTCAGACAGCACCTTGAACGTCTCTTTGTCTTGTTTTTAGATCGATGTACTGATTGAACAATGTAATATAATTTGAATATAAATTTAAGATTTTATGCTGCGTCGAAGATCAAAATTCGTAAACCAATGGCTTTATATGCCAGGTGTACGCTATTATGAATGTTATTCCTCGTAGATTAGCAATATTTGCCACTCTCGATGGATGATAAATGCAGTGGAGTAAGATAATGTAAGAAAAATGGTGTAGCGGAAAGAGTTTAAAAAAAGGGAGAAAATAATTTTTCTATAGTACAAATAATCGTAAGCCTATTCTTTAAATCAAAGAAGGTCTTTTAGCTTTCGTCCATCTTGCTGTCAAGTTTTACGGCTCATTTATGAAAGATTGAGAATACTCTTACCTTTAATAGTAGACTATAAAACTGTATATTTTACATCAAGAATCAACTGTATATTTTACATCTCCAAGGTTGTGCTGCGATGTTCGCCAAACCAGCAGACATTTGTGCTTCCATGCATTCTGCAAGTCTTTCTCGAGGCTTGTAGAAAACATTGTTTCCAAACACAAAGTGGCTTATACGTGAATATTGCATAGGTTATTTGTTTATAGATTTTTCAAATTTAAGAATTAAAATATTTCTTATTTTAGCTGAAAAAAATTATAAATCGGAATGTCTTTTATTAAAATAACTGTATATGTTCTAAATTCTATTGATACAGTCATTGATTTCAAGTCTCAATTTGATTATCTCGGGTTTTTTTTTCTTCTATTATGGTCTGTTGTTGTTCACAATAAATTCAGTTTCAGTTGTTTAGTTTATAAAATGTTTTCCTGCTTCTTTCCATTACAGTGTCAGATAAAGCTTGATAAATTAATAATTATTTACACTTTAACTGCCCTATTTTTAAGCATTTTCGAAACCATTTTGGTCTATGAATGTGACATGAGAAATTCCTATGAATTTGTGAAATTTTGCTATGAAACTCTTCAAAGTACTTTCTTCTTTTACGTCATAAAAGGAGCTATAAATAATTAATCTATACCTAACGATTGACACTTTATTCAGTCTTTCAATTTTTTTTCCCTTTTAACCTATCTAAAAGACTTCGCTTAGTGAATTAGCTTTCTTTGAGGCTTTTCCCATTCATTAAGGTCTATGGAGTTTAATTAATAATAGAAAGTCGAATTTTATTTTTTTCAAACCTTTTAATAAATTTAGACATTGATTTCTTTTTTTTTTTTTTTTTTTTTTGTTTGTTTTGTTTTTGTGTGTGTGTGTGTGTATGTGTGTGTGTGTGTGCTTGATTGTTGCTTGATATGTAAATGTTTCGAATTAGACATTATGTTTTTCTTTGTTCGGCAGCTGGACTTATTAAATACATACGCAGCTTATTGAAAAAGTATTTATAAAGCAATTCGTTTAAAAATTGACCATCAGTTAATTATGGTAACTCATGGTAGTTTTTTCACACTATTCAATATTATTCAATATTCACACTATTCAATATGCTTGCTGCCGTTGAGAGTAAATATCAGTAGAGTTTTACAGTTTCATTAAAGATATCAAATTATAAGATATTACCTTCATTTGCAGCTACAAATGGATCTTATTCTTCCGAAGTAGATCTTCTTCTTCCAGAAAATGTTGTTGATGGATCTGCTCGAGCCTATGTATCTGTCTCAAGTAAGCAAAACATTGTTTTTAATTACCTATTTTATTATTTACACATTTCGTTAAATTTAGAAGTTCAATACCTACTTCATCTTATTTAAGTACAGCAGAGTAAAAACAAGTTTAGGGTTTTCTGAGTGTGGCGAAGCATAACAGAGTTACCTAGTTAAGGAGTAGATCTTCTTTTTAGACAGTTCTTCTTCTTTTTAGACAGTTCTCTAAATTTAATTGGCTTATAATCACGTTATACATAGAGAGAGAAAAAAAAAAAAGCACCCATACAGTACACTTACCGAGTTGCAAGCAGTTAGTCAGACTGCCGTGTTTAGTGATTCTATCTACTCGGCCACTGCTGGGCCGAAGAAAAGTAGAAACTAAGAATTATTATTGTTGATGATTATAATATAATTTGAAATTGTATGGATTATCTTCCCAATCTATTCAAACATATCCGTTATATCCAGCTCAAGTTTAAAGACATATAAGGTGACTTAAATATGACCAAGACTAACTTTTTTGTTGCCGAAACCTTTATTGCGAATGAAAACGTTGAACACGTTATAAGGTATTTCTCCCGCCTTTTTAGCATGCCTTCGGGGTGTAGTGGTAGCACGCTCGGTGCGTATCGAAAGGTCCATGGCTCGAGTCCTGACGAGGGCATTGCTCATTGTTCATGTCTCCTGCTTCTAAATAACCTAATGACTGTACAGTGGCACGCGAACTAAAAAAGGTGGTGAATGATGAATCTCCACTACCAGGATTTGGCGATTGGTTCCCCTAATCTCCAGTCTCCCTTTAAAAGGGGGAGTATATAAGGTATTTCTCCCGCTTTCTTAGAATGCCTTCGTGCTGTAGTGGTCAGCACGCTCGGCTCATATCGAGGGGTCCGCTGTTCGAGTCTCGGTGAGGGCATTGCTTATTTTTCATGTCTCCTGCTTCCAAATAACCTAATGACTCTACAATGCCACCTTCAACCTACTCAGCTTCGAAGTCAATATGTTTTTGTTGGAATTCTGGAAATATTTTCAGGCCCTTTTCATAGAAGTTTTTCACTTGGCTTTGAATCCACAATCTTATGTAGATGATACCTCTGGTGATGGTTCAGACTCGAGACTGAAGAAGTTGGGACCATGTTTGATTAACAGTCAATATGGAATTCCAAAATAAACTGTCATGTGAGACAGCTGGCGATTTGCATGAGCATCATTTTATTCTCTTCTGTCAATATGCATGGAATCCACCGGGCCTACACCTTACCATAGAACATAAGCTTTTTTACCACGGTTTTTGCCATACCAACACTCACTGAAAGTTCGACGCAACTTCCCTGATGGTAATTCGCCTGTTCTTACGAATAACAACATTTACATTATGCGGCATTTCTTCCGCCTTCTTAACATGCCTTCGTGGTGTAGTGGTAAGCACACTCGACGCGAATTCGAAAGGTCCGTGGTTCGAGTCCCGGCGAGGGCATTGCTCACCTTTCACATCTCCAGTTTCAAAAAAAACCTAATGTATCTACAACATTATCAATCTTTGATATCTGGGAGGATGGGTGCTCTAAACTCGTTTTTGTCCCTTAGTGAAGAAACACTTACGCCACCCAAAGGCATGAGTCGTAGAGAGGTATTCTTCCCCCTTCGAAATTTCAAATAACTGAACATTCCCTCGAATGAAAAATTTGATCACAATGCATTATTCCATATTCCGGGACAATTTGTTTTCCTTCATCAGTCTCTTGAAACCACGACTGAGCAAGTTCTATTCTATACGGAAGTTTAGGTAAGGGTGGTGATTGTATTCATCCAAGAACATACAGTGATGTGTATGAGTACATGGATAGTGGTTTGTAGCAGTAACAGTCCCCTTCATATTTGAATCACCTTTTATTTCATTCTAACTTAAATTTCAATCCCATATCCCTTTTCACACATTTTAATATCGTAAGCTCGCTTCCAATTACGAAGAAGCATGAAGGACAGACGATAATAAAAAGCAGACTACTGACATAGTGAGCAGTACAGACACAGAAGAAATTAAATAAAAAAATAAAAATGTTAAAATAAAAATTATCGCAAAATTAAAAATTATTAGAAATTACTAAATGGATTTTTTTAAATTGTAATAAAAAGAAATATGCTTATTTATATTGGATTTAGCAAAACTCAGGATCTTTCCAGGGCCATAAATTAATTTGTGAATGCTTTAGAGCTACTTTTATCCAAATCATCAAAAGAAGAGAATAAATTCCCGATATGAGAAAATATAAAGAAGTATCTTTGGATGAAATGTGAATATGATGAAATGTGACTATGACAGCTGCGAAGAGAAATGATAGTTGTAGCTGTGTTAACACCCTCATCACACACAGAACGCGATTTGCCGAATTACACCTTAGACATACACCGCTAAAATTGTTGTCTGTTTGGAATTTTTTTATTTATTAATTAAATTTGTGTTTATTTAGCCTAGGTTTTGTTTGCCTTATATTGGGATACAAAATGTACAACTTTTAAATATTTACTTACTTTATTTAAGATAATTTTAATGCATAGATAAAAAGAACGCACAAAACGTATTAAAAAATTACTAAATTAATTAATTTTTTGATTTCATAATTTTGCTTGATAATTACGAATTTAGAATTTGCTTATGCCACTTTTGTTACGAAATATCATTTTATATTTAAATGTCCTGTATTCTAATTGAGAAATATTCTGTTAAAAAACAAACTCCATATATGAATTTATGATTAAAAAGTATATGATAGCTTATGATCAAAAAGAATAAATTAAGGGTATAATATAAGCAAGATGTTTTATTAAAATCGGAATTAGATTTCGGTCACGTGAATTTAAAAATTTTGGCTTATACTAAAACTTTAATAAATGTATATATACTTCATTTATTTTACTTTTTATTACATACTTGCTTTAAAATGTATTTGATTTTCTATATTATTTAAAATAATGATTGTGACCTGAAATTTTCTTGCAACGCTTATGAGCAGCTCCTTTATGCCAGAAACTTATGAACCGCATTAGATTATACAGAGATGAGCGATGTAATTCGAATTAAAATTTGATCATTTGGCTAGGCAAAGCACTATAGGTCTATCTGCTTCAAGAAAGAGATGCCTTCGTAAAGAGCGTTTTAAGAGGAAAATGGCTCATATTTAATTTTCTCATGAGAAAACAACTCTAAAAAACAAAGAATTTTCCATTTCCGTTGCTGTACCTACTTTACTCTAGCATATTATTTCAAGTTTAAACCATATATATCCATTCCATTAACAGAATATTATTATTCATTAACTCAAAAATTATTATGAAAGTTTCCGATGGATAAATTTCAAAAATTTGCTTTTGAAATGTTTTTACGAAAATTTCCCTTGCGTGAATTTTAAAAACTCGTTTTCTTCCATTTACATTACATGAAGGAGATAATATTGTAACGCAATGCCCAGCTGCAGTAAGATAGCTTCCCCGCAAAGCCGGTTGAAGGTTACCAGATTTGGCGTGAAATCCCTCCTTTTAGCGACGAAATTGGCGATATGCCATGGACGGACCAAGAACATTCTAGAATGAATTCAAGAACCGGTTTTCCCCAGAATGTTCTAGAAGGCAAGGGAAAAGCTATATATACCCTGACTGTACGGGGACTAAAAGAGTACGTTGGGTTTAGTAGTGGTGTTTTGAGTTCAGAGATTAGCTTGAGAGCGACTGGACCGAGCCGGAAGCTGTACTTTAATGCTATGCCATTTGCTGTCATCACCGTTATAGACTGAAGGCTGCGTTGCTAATTGTTTCAGCGTGTTTGTCGTGATTTTTCGACAACTTTATGACGTTTTACTACTGTAAACGTGTCTTTGGAACTCTCCTGTGTAATACTGAGGAATAAATTTTATTTTGATTCTTCATCAATTTTTGATATCAATCACTCGTATTTAAGTAAGAAATCCACGAACCCGTAGAATACAACTAGTGTCGGAAGTGGGATTTGTGAGTAAATGCCAGTGATTCGCCTATAGGAAAAAGCTGCAGTGGTGGCCAAAATTGTGGACACTTTTGGAAATTCTTATTTTTTTGAACTTTGTATGCTTATAGAAAACGTTACGTTTCACAAAATGCAAACTTGTATATATCATTTTAAAGAGAATTTATTACTGAATTCAATACAAAACACGAAATTCAGTTATTTGCAATACAAAAAAAGTTAAACGATAAAAGTTATCGGTATACATTAGATAATGATGATTGCAGTGAGTTATCAGTACTTAGTAGAGTACATTTTATTTTTGATTACAGCTTCACATCGACGTTTCATTGAGCTGACAAGTGTTTTAAGCTCTTCTTTCGTTAGTACATGATGCCAGGAAACAATTATAGCCTCAATTAGTTCCCTTTTATTTGATGAGCCCCCTCATTCGGACACGAGTTTTCAAACGGTGCCACAAATTTTCGATAGGATTGAGGTTAGGACTGTTTCCTGGCCATGACAACAATTTAATGCTCTTTGTACGAAACCACTTTTTCGATATTTTGGCCGTGTGGCAAGGAGCAGAATCCTGCTGAAAAATAAACGAAGCATTGTTGGGAAAGAGATCTCTGATGGAAGGTAGAAGTTTTGGTTCTAGAATAGTGTCAATGTATTTTCTGGCATTCAGTGTCCCATCAATAACATGAAGGCGACCAATACCATCTGCTGACATGCATGACCAAAACATAACACTAACTGGTTTCTTCACAGTTGCTTGAATGCAGTCAGGATGTAGCTCTTCTCCTATTCTACGTCTTACATAAATTCGCCCATCACTACAGAATAACGATATCTTAGTTTCATCACTCCATATAACTTGTGACCACTGATCATCTGTCCAATTAATGTGTTTCTTTACCCACTGTAGTCTTTTTTTATTCGTTGCTGAAAATTAAGATAAGGCTTTTTTCGTGAATTCCACCTCTCAGTCCAACATCTGTTAATCTTCTCCTGATTGTTCTTGAACTGACAGA